TCGGTCGTGGTTTGGTGGTGGTTTGAATTTACTGCGATGGGCGGGATACTAACTTAGCTAGCTACCTCTTTTTTTTTTAGGTGCGGCGGGTGACGTGAGGCGGGACGCGCGCGGTCTGGAGTTGCTTAAGGTTCATCACCACCATCCATCAGGCTCAAAATTACAATCTGGGACAATAATCCTCAATGTTCTTTTCCATATTCTTTGCTGGATTTTACAAAGCATTATCCAAGAGAATCAGGAGAATATATGTCCTCTACTGAAAATTAGGACCTATGCCAAAACTAGACATACTCCAATTGACTCGGCCGGTGTACTGCTATCTCATTATATATACATCCCTATCCACGAAAAAATTGAAGTGCTACCATCGTTATCTCATGAACAGCGAGGCCTAGTTGGGACGGGCGGCAGGTCCAGGGTTGACACGGCGGCCCCTGGTCAATGCATCAGTGACTGCTGCTATTATCACAATCGAGCCCGGGAGACTTACATGAAAGTTCTGCTGAAGAAGCTGATGAAGAGCATGAAGAGCCAGCTCGGGATAGAGCCGAAACCCCACATGACATAGCCGAGAGGAAGGAGAAGCCCGTTCTTGGCAAAGAAGCCGTCGGTAGGGTGCAGGAGACCCACGTAGGCCGGGGTCTGCTCGAAATGCTTCTCGGAATGAAGCTTGTAGATCGTCTCGGGGGTAACGGTAGTCGTGTTCAGGTGCGCGGTGTGCAGAGTAGTGGGAGCACGTCCCTCGCCCAGCTGGGCCTGGGGGACCTCGAAGTGCCAGACCGAGGGAGCGCTTGCGGACCAAGCAGCGCAGAGAACCTGGTTTGCCTCACAATCCAACCGAGCAAGGTGAGGGGAGGTGGGATCGGCGGAGAACAGAAGAACGGATTCCTAGAAGATGAACATGACATGTTTAGCGGCCATGAGCACGAGCCTCGGGGGGGCCTTATGTCTCCCCCCTTTAGTGTTCCGGGGCGGTCTTACATTGAATGACTTATCCGCTTGAGCACAGCGTCCGAAGCATGTCTTGTTACCACCGGTGACGAAGACGAACCAGTCCTGGGGATCAGAGGCTGGCTCCAGAATCGACTCCCAGTTGGTCAGATTCAACTGCGTGACGGGCTTCGCCTGGATCTTCTTCTGCTCGACGACCTTCTGGACTTCCTCAACAGTAGCAGGCACAACCGGGGTAGCAGCTGGCAGATAAGCCTTGGCCTTGTCCAGCCAACCCTGGAAACGGTCTGCAAGGGGAACTTGTTCTTGTGCCAGCGCGAGCGCGGGGGCAAGGGCGAGGACCTGGATGAGACGCATGATGATGATGCTATAGAAGACGACGCGTGGTCAGTAAATTATCAGGGGAGGTTTGTCTGCGGCTGCCGTGGACGAGGGGGAGAGAATGAACATACATGGTCTGAGTTATCTAATGCGATGAGCGCACCTTGAGCAGAAACTGGATAGGGTTGAAAGACCAGATGGTGGACAGCAGGCAGCGGAGGGAAACAGGCAACCTGTGTTGACAACAACTTGAAGAGGTTAGGTGAAACAGCCACGATGGACAGACTGACAGTACTGTACACTCACCTAACGTACGTTCGTACTGTACTGTACCGAGTAAAGTCTCCGCGACAGGTGGCCTAACTCTAATTGGAGCTTCCGCGGCGGGAAGCGGGGAATTCGCTTCCTTGCCTTTCTGGAATCTCTTTTGCTTCTTCCCCCCATTGTATGTGTGTTTGATGATTGATACCGATTGTCAACCGCTGGTTGCAAATCTATTGTTGTGTATTGAATTAGAGACAAATATGGCTTTGTCTAATGTCAAACAATCAGCGGATATTGATACTGGACCTACAGCAACCCAACAATGGAAGATCGTATCTCAACAGAACAGAGAGAGAAAATCAATGACTTTCAATTGTGCTGTTTCTCCCTAAGTAAGGTAAAGGCAATACCTATCAAGTAGTGACCACTGGCATTGGAGATGCACTATGCTTCTAGATAGTCTTACCTCGCATCTTGTAGTTCGATTCACCTGCTTGTATAGATGAGTTCAACTCGACATTCTCGATTAAGATAATAAGCATAGAATGAGATGGAATTGACCCTATAGTCTGATGTGCTACAAGTACTAGTCCTTGTATATGACCTCTAGACTCGATGTGCCTGCATCTGAGTCGCGGCATACCTTGAGGTAACAAACGGCATAGAACCTTCGCACTTGCCAGGACCATGTCTGGCTGTTGCACCTTCCGCAGTGATTGAAACGCGAGCAGCACTGGGAATTCAGTGTTTAACTCTAGATTCCATCTCTTCAATTACCGCCAGTCATGCTATGCTATTCATTGATCTATCATCCGAGTATAGATATACATACCATAAAGACCATACCACAACGCTGTCAATCTTTCTGTGAAGGCTTGTCAACCATGGCAGAGATGATAAAGTACTGCGCATTTTCCTTTCATAGGATTATTCTGGCTTTTTCAGTGCTGGTCGTGCTCTGTCAAGGCAGCAAAGCCGTGGCGGGTGGTGATACTGAGCTTGGTATGCAGGAAGTTTCTTCGAAGTGCGCATGTTAGCACCAAGAGGAACCCATCTAACCATTGGAGCAGTGACAACACTAGCCACTGAGCTTGCTTGCAGCCAAGCAACCCCAACGGCCGTCCAGAAACGATCCACTACGGCTTCTCCCAATGACTTCCCTATTTGTACCGACCTGAGTGGCTCTTTTCGGCCTTTCTGTCTTCCCAAGGATGGTACCGAAGTGACAGTCGATGCGACGTACTATGTGACGTGGAATGCCGACTTTTATCCTTTGAATGCTACTATCACCATTGAGCTGAGATATCTGAACTCCTCCGAGGGCGACTCGGCATACACATCCGAGAGGATCGATAACAGCTATGGCTATACCCATATCCACATGCGCGAAGATTGGCTTCAAGGGAAGCAGCGGAATGCTTTGACGCTCTATATCATTGAGCTAGATGCTGTGTCAGACAAGCGAGCCAGTATTCGACAAGGACCAACCATCTTACTCCACCTCCGACCCACGGAGCACCGCAAACCCTCGCCCCAGCTGTCATTCAACAGACTCGCATTGTACATCGGTCTCCCCGTCAGCCTTGGGGTTGTGGTACTTGTGGTTGCCGGTCTGTACTTTGGGATGCGAGAGAGTAGACGGATTGACCTTGGGAATATCATTGGGTCCCGTGACAAAGGTTATGGGATCGCAAAGTCCAGGGAACAGCGCCTGGGTTCTAAGGCAGGCAATCGCGAAGGGTCGGAAGCGTCCTCAGGACTTGGAAGATACACGGATGACATTGACGCTAGCATGTCGCAAATTCTCCAACCTGAGCATCACTTTGATTTAGAACAGAGTGCGAGTTTCGCATTCAGGCGGGACTCGTCTAAGCTGAGGAGCTGGAGGGTTTGAGCCTCCCAGGTCCGAGGCGCACAACCTTATGGATCATTTGACAGCGAACTGTGGGTCGATGTATGCAGAAAAGATCTCGTATCGCTGCAAGATTAGCCTTATGATCTCATCCGAGTCCTTGTTGACGAGACGGACCTCGATAGCTTTATGTCTGATGTCCGGTGCTAAGTCCAATGGAGGTTGGATTGGTAAGACAGGAGAAGTGGGGATTGTATACAGTTATTAGTGCTTCGGCATCTCTGTTCTCTACGCTTCATGCAGAGCAAGAATGAATGCAAGTAGAAATATGCGCTCAACATAGCCAGCCTGTTACTCTATGCATCTGTACATTGCTGCGTAGTACACCGCTCTGATCATTAGTAAAACTACACAGCATGTACAGTACTGTATCTTGAAGTTGAGATATGACTCAAAAGGAAGTTGCACTCCACAATACAGGCTTTACCTCTTTTAATCTAGCTCAAGCCACAGGACCTTCCAAGAATCCAAGGTTTGTAACCTGAGGCCGCACAGGCCACCGGTACTGGAGAATGACTCGGGGGTCCGCCGCGGGCGGCCGCAAGCCCCAACTGAAGGGGCGGGAGACGGTTACCACGTAAGCACGCTGACCAACAGGAGGCCAGGAAATGAAAATCAGGAGCGATGCCGGAGGGACCGGCCTAGCAATGAGTCAAGCGTAGTGGAAGTGATCAAGATGGCCACGGCCATGTAGTCTACCGTTGGTATTGGGCACCTAACAGATGTCATGATTCAACAAGAAAGTGTCGGTTACCATGGCGATGTTGAACTAGTCAAGAAACGATTTTGATCATAGCCAATAGCATTGTGAATAGGAGTAAGAATTGAGAATTGATTATCAATCTCGTGTCGGTCGAGCCTGGCTGCCTACCGCGGCCGACGCTAGTTATCAAGATGCGGCGCTATCTCGAGGTTAACCACCTGCCGATGTCGGTTGCAGCCCTTCCCCAATTATGCAACCCAAATCCAGCCCTGACTGGCTCCAACTAATTAAGGGAGAAAAAAAAACCCTAGAGGCAAACCCTGACCACATGCAATGATAGGACGCATAAACGAAGATCTGCCTCAGCTAGGTTTTCATACGAAAAGCTAGTATTGACAGCACAATGTCAGGTACTTGGACACTGAGGAGTAGAACTGGCTCTCACCCCCAGCGTGGCAAACAACCAACCGTACTCAGTAGAAACCTACCTACGTAAAAGAGGCCCGCCTGGATAAGGAACCGGCCTTAATAACGATGATGACTACTGCATTTAGGCTAGAACCCCATCGGAAACTGGAGACGATCCTCACGCTGAGCAATTGGGGTGGTCGGAGGCGCTGTGAACGGCCAGCCGGGGTCAGGGTTCTCCACAACCAGCCAGGAAGGAGATGGCAAAGAAATGGTCACCAAAGGTCTGCGGCGTACTTAGTTCCTAGTGCGAGTAAATTTTTCATCATTGCCGCAGTAGCAAGGGGGGAAGAGAGAGGGGGGGGGGTTCCGCCCGACAAGAAAGAGTCATACTTTGCCTGCGACCAGACCGCCCGCTTTTTTAAACCAACTTGTAGCCTATGACTCTTTCTTTGATTCTCTTCTCCTACTAGATCTCTTTGCCATTTAAACCCATCCCACCTTGACCTGAACCTTTACTGTCAGTATATTCCCATTGATCTCATATTCAACGTTTGTCGTCGTCTGACTTTGCTTTTACCATTCGCAGCTTTTCGCTATTATATACTACAACCTACCCACTAAACTTACCCCGCCGTATCCTTTTTCACAATGTGCCCTGGTGCAGACCACGAGCCCAATGGGCAGGCCAACGGCGCTGCCCCAAATGCCAATGGTAGGTTCGAATCGCATTAACTCTCTCTCTCTCTCTCTCTCTCTCTCTCTTTCATCGACTGTGGAAGTTCGAACTAACACATCATCAAGGTGAACACCCCGGTTTCACCGGCATCGAGACTCGCCAGAACCCCCACCCCTCTGCTTCCCGCAACCCTTATGGCCACAACGTCGGTGTTACCGACTTCTTGAGCAATGTCTCCCGCTTCAAGATCATTGAGAGTACTCTTCGTGAGGGAGAGCAATTCGCCAACGCTTTCTTCGATACCGAGAAGAAGATCGAGATCGCCAAGGCTTTGGACGACTTTGGTGTTGACTACGTGAGTCATCCTGGTGGTGGAGAAGGTCGAGCCGTCGTGGAGCTTGTGCACTGACCACTTCTCATAGATCGAGCTCACCAGCCCCTGCGCTTCCGAGCAGTCGAGAAAGGACTGTGAGGCCATCTGCAAGCTTGGCCTGAAGGCTAAGGTATGTTAGCTACGCCGCCCACAGATTCAGCCGTTTTCGTTCAGACCTAATGAAACCTAGATTCTCACTCACATCCGTTGCCACATGGACGATGCTAGAGTTGCCGTTGAGACCGGTGTTGATGGAGTGTAAGTTTTTTTTTCAAGGCTTTTGCTTGCGCGAGTAACTCCTAACAAGTCGATAGCGATGTCGTAATTGGAACCTCCTCCTACCTCCGTGAGCACTCTCACGGCAAGGACATGACCTACATCAAGAACACCGCCATCGAAGTTATCGAGTTCGTTAAGTCCAAGGGTATTGAGATCCGTTTCTCCAGTGAGGACTCCTTCCGTTCCGACCTGGTCGACCTCTTGTCCATCTACTCCGCCGTCGACAAGGTTGGTGTCCACCGTGTCGGTATCGCCGATACCGTCGGATGCGCCTCCCCTCGTCAGGTTTACGAGCTCGTCCGTGTGTTGAGAGGTGTCGTGGGTTGCGATATTGAGACCCACTTCCACAACGACACCGGTTGCGCCATTGCCAACGCCTACTGTGCCCTGGAGGCTGGTGCTACTCACATCGATACCTCCGTTCTCGGTATCGGTGAGCGCAATGGTATCACCCCTCTTGGTGGTCTCATGGCCCGCATGATGGTTGCCGACCCCGAGTACGTCAAGAGCAAGTACAAGCTTGAGAAGCTCAAGGAAGTCGAGGACCTCGTCGCCGAGGCCGTTGAAGTCAACATTCCCTTCAACAACTACATCACTGGATTCTGCGCTTTCACCCACAAGGCCGGTATTCACGCCAAGGCCATCCTGAACAACCCTAGCACCTACGAGATCATCAACCCTGCCGATTTCGGCATGAGCAGATATGTCCACTTTGCCTCCCGTCTGACTGGCTGGAACGCCATCAAGTCGCGTGCCCAGCAGCTTAACATCACGATGACGGATGCTCAGTACAAGGAGTGCACTGCCAAGATCAAGGCCCTTGCTGATATTCGTCCCATTGCTGTTGACGATGCCGACAGCATTATCCGCGCCTACTACCGCAACATCAAGTCGGGCGAGAACAAGCCCCTCCTTGACCTTACGGCCGACGAGCAGGCTCAATTCGCTGCCAAGGAGAAGGAGATTGCTGAGCAAATCACTGCTTAAGTCCGTGGCTTGACTGCCTTTCGTTCAATTTGCAAGTGCCGCCATTGAGTCACATCAATGGGATTAGAGGGTCGCGTTTTTAGAGGTTTTCCTTTTCTGTTCCTGTTCATGCTTGCAGCGGGTGGGTCTCTTTCCTGCGGGAAGATGTTTCCATTTTACTTTCATCCTCATGATTTCTACGTTTATGTGTCAAGGATCTTGATCTGGTTGTTATTTCTACGGGGGTTTTAAAAAGTCTTCCTTGTCCCTGACTCAAAAAGAAGGAGATTCGGTGTTGGGGAAGAGATTTTGGGTCCTTTGGTTTTTGGACCGTGTACATACGCAGATATCGATATTTAAACTGCATTTCATACAAGATACTGAGTGCTTGGTGTAGATTTCTCGGGCAATATTCGATGTTTATTCTTTGGTCTGACAGTAGTTGCACTTTTGCAGGAGGGGCTTGGAATAAAGTAGTGGTTTCCGTATGCGGAGTGTGGCATGTGGCATGTGGAAAACGTTGAAGCCGAGGCAGCCTTCCGAGGGGCGGTCTATAGCCGCCGGTTTCCATTTCCATATCCCGACCGAACTAGTTGTGTAGTGACAGTGACAGTGACAGTACCTATACACTGCAGTAACCGCCCGCGGCCCTTTCCTCTCTCCCCAGTTCACTTTCGTCATCCTTTCGGAGGTCGTCCTCAATCGGCTCTCCACCCCCATCTTCTTCTTATCGACTGTCCATTCATTCATACATAATGGCATCGTCTGTTCTTCCTGTTGCCTTGCAGAACAAACTGCTTGGCTACAGCAGGGCTCCCAACTCGCAACTCGCAGCTCTGCAACTGGATGTGTAAGTTCATGAGATCATCTGCACCGCATTGCCTTTCCCCGCGTGGCAGCGCGGACAGTCCCTAGCCCATGGGGCGACTATCAAGTTTGTCCTTGGTTCCGGTCTCACTAACAACTCTTTCCTTCGCGTCGTAGTATTCGGAATATTGTTTTCATTTTATTCATTCTCCGCTACGTCCGCAAGGCATATCATTCACTGCGCGGCTACGGCCTCTTCGGCAGCATCCGCAATGTCTACTCCGCCATTCGGCTCTTCTGCTACTCTGCGTTCTTGCGATTCCCCGGCGTTAAGGGCCAGGTTGACAAGCAAGTGTCCACAGCGATCGAGGGCTTAGAGTCGAAACTCATCGCCAGTGGTCCTGGTGTTACCAGGTATCTGACTCTACCCAAGGAAGGATGGTCGGCTGAGCAGATTCGCGCCGAGTTAGGCAACTTGGCGAATATGGAACATACACGCTGGGAGGATGGTCGCGTCAGCGGTGCCGTGTATCATGGTGGCCAGGATCTCCTGAAGCTACAAGCGGAAGCCTTCGGCCAGTTCGGTGTCGCGAATCCCATTCACCCAGATGTGTTCCCTGGTGTCCGGAAGATGGAAGCTGAAGTTGTCGCTATGGTACTTATCCCTCTCCTTTGAACATCATGGAATTGTCAGCTCACGCATGTCACCCAGGTCCTCGAGCTGTTCAATGCCCCCTCTGATGGCGCGGGTGTCACGACCAGCGGCGGAACAGAATCTATCATCATGGCTTGCCTTGCTGCACGACAGAAAGCATATACCGAACGGGGTGTCACCGAGCCCGAGATGTGAGTAGAGATGCTTCGCAAATCATGTGCACCCATCAATTTGCTGATACCTTCTGAAGGATTATTCCCGACACCGCCCACGCTGCCTTTATCAAGGCTTGCAACTACTTCAAGATTAAGCTCCACCGCGTTGCTTGCCCGGCCCCGGACTATAAGGTTCATATTCCATCCGTCCGGCGGTTGATCAACTCCAACACTGTTCTCATTGTCGGATCTGCGCCGAATTTCCCTCATGGTATCGTTGATGATATTCCAGCTCTGTCTCGACTGGCGACCTCGTATAAAATCCCCCTACATGTCGACTGTTGTCTGGGCTCCTTTGTTATCGCGTTTCTCAAGAAAGCGGGCTTCGCCTCTCCTTATGAGGAAGAGGGCGGCTTTGATTTCCGTCTACCCGGTGTGACCAGCATTAGCGTGGACACCCACAAATATGGCTTCGCGCCCAAGGGCAACTCTGTGCTTCTGTACCGCAACAAGGTATACCGCAGCTATCAGTACTTCATCTACCCTGACTGGTCTGGGGGCGTTTATGCATCTCCATCCATCGCCGGCTCGCGTCCGGGTGCGCTGATCGCAGGCTGCTGGGCTAGTCTGATGAATGTGGGTGAATCTGGTTACATCAAGAGTTGTCACGAAATCGTGAGCGCAGCGAAGAAATTTGAGTCGTCAATCAAGGAGCACTCGATCTTGTCGAAGAACCTGGAGATTGTCGGAAAGCCCATGGTCAGCGTCGTCGCCTTCGAAAGCAAGAATGATGCCGTTGATATCTACGATATTGCTGATGATTTATCCGCAAAGGGCTGGCACCTGAACGCTCTTCAGACGCCCCCTGCTATCCACGTGGCTTTCACAGTTCCCACAGCCTCAGCAGTGGATGCGCTTACCAATGATTTGGTCGAGGTTCTGGAAAAGGAGTTGGAGAAGGCCGAAGAGAGAAAGCGCCAGGGCAAGTCGTATATTGTCAAACGTGGAGACACCGCAGCTCTCTATGGTGTGGCGGGTAGCATGCCGGACAAAAGCATCGTCAGCCGCCTGGCCGAGGGGTTCCTCGACACTCTGTATAAAGCATAGACAGGTTTTGTGACCTAAGAAAATTGGCATTGTCTATATAGTCTTGGGAAAGCGAGAGGCTGCTCGCGCACGAACTCTTTGAAATGGGGTCGTTTCCTGGTGCAAATAGTTGATTTGCGGTTTCTCGGTGTCATGAGCGGCGTTTGCACGATTTCTATTCTTTCCACAATTGAGTATTATTGTTATCATGAAAAATCCACGCAGCATTGGTATCAGGCATGTTTTGATTCACATGAACAGAGCCATTCTGTAGAACATGGCAGCAAAAGGAATACTATAGTACAAATGACTGGGCCGATATACGATGCAGAAAATCGACCTAGTAAAGCCACAGACAGTTTGGCCGGTGGAGTGGGCCCAAACCAAAAACGACCGCCTCATGCAAAGAGGGACCCAGCAGGGTCTGGCATTCTCCTCAGCCTTGGAAGAGTGCATCCCACCAAAGCTCTCCCCGAAGAAACCTCCAATCCGACGCATAATAAGCCCGACCAGAGGTGCAAGGAGTCAGTCACCGATGCAAGTCATTGCTGGAATATGCGATTGTTATATCCCATCCCCTTCCCCGATTCGACCATCAAAATCGTATATCCAGAAATCCGAACAATCCCTTCTCCCCTCAGAAGGACAGCCCTTGAACGGGAGAAGAGAAGAAAAGGATTTGTGGAGGCTGGGTCAAGCACACGTAAAGCGTAGATTGGACAGAATGAAAAAAACAAAATGCGCAAAACCGAGAAGCAAGCAGCAGAACAATGGGCTAGGACACAACAAAAAGAAAGGCAACAGGAACAGGACAGGACAGGACAAAAGTCAATCCTTGCCGGTTATTTCATGCGGTTCTGTTCTCCTTGTATTCCCGCCCGGAGTACTTCTCGATGTAGTAGCCCGGGTCGGGCTTGCGCTCCAGGCGCACTTCCTGCTTCGTTAACCGCTGGTCGACCTCCTGGACCTCGACCAGCTCCTTGACCTTCATGATCTGACCGGCGACGGAGGGCGAGACGGCGTGGAAGACGGTGGCCATGCGTTTCTTGAGGCCGAGGGCCTTGAGGACGTCGGTGGTGCGGCGGGGGAGACCGATGGCCGAGCGGACGAGGGTGATGCGGAAGTAGCTCATTGTGGATGACGGTGGTTGTGCGGGTTTTTGGGTGGTTCTTTGTGGTTGTGCTGTGGTGTATAGCTCGAGAGAGAGGGGGCTATCAGAGGTAGATTGTTTTCTCGGGGTTGCGGAGGTTTGTTGGGTTGCTATCGAATTTTTGAGGGAGAGATGGTTTCGAGGGACGCGGGCGAGGGAGATTGTTCGATTTGACTCGGTACGCTAATGTTCCGGAGATTGGATTGGATTTTGCGTGATCTCCCTCAATTGCTCAAGAGTAGCCGATTACCGCGTGTCTGGAAGAAATATTGTTGCTATTGTTGCTGCTGCTGCTGCTGCTGCGCTGCGCTCCATCGCGATCGCTCCGGCCGCAAAATTCCCGCTCTTCCGTCGGTCTGCCAGGCGGAGAGTCACGTGAGGTAGGCTTTCTGCCGGGGGTTCGAGTGGCTTGCGTCGGTCGGTCGGCGGGAATTACGGGGGGAGGAGTAGTTACTCCGTGCTATCGAACAGCTTTGCAAGAACATCGAGAGGGATTTTCCAGCTGTGTGGTAAGATTTGAGGATGAGCCATTGGTCAGTGTTATTCCTACCGTTTGAATGGATAGGGCGAGTTTTGATACTGATATTTGCGTCATTCGACTTTATAGATTCCTTATATTAAAAAGCGCTGCGCGTGTCAAGAGGGGTTTCTCCATTCGTTCTATACAAGTCGCCTGTCGCTCTGATCTCACCTTACGCCCATACAGCCTTGCAGGTGCACTGAGCTCCTGTTCATGAGATACGACACATAACACAGAGCTACCTGGTCAGAATACTTACTCAACGTCGATATAATCCGCAGCCTGCTTGCAGCATACTCACCCGTACCTCTCGGAGCTTAAGCCAGCTTCCCGGATCGCGACCCTTTTGATGGTACACCTCCACACGGGCGTCTAAATACACATCGCCTTCATTGAAAACGACAGAACTCCGACCGCAAATGGCGCGGGGTGAAGACAACAATGGCACGGTGGCCATGCCCCGACTGGAAGACATCCTTCGGTACCCGGAGGACCTGGACAAGATCGTTGCCCTGAAAGCCGAGTACTCGCGGAAGAAAGGCGCCGTCGATGCGCAGCTGCGCGAGGGGCTGCGGGACCAGCTGGAGTCCGTCCAGCGCAGCATCAATGCGCTCACCGAGGGCCAGCGGCAGGTGACCAAGACCAAGGACGAGCTGCAAGGCATCGACAAGCTGTGCGCCGAGTCCCAGAACAGCGTGGAGGACTTCTCGCAGATCGACAAGCTGGCCAAGGTGCAGCGGAACTTCGAGGCGACGCTCATGATGAAGAAAGGGCTGGAGATGTTCAGCGAGAACCTGGCGGTGGTCGAGGATCTCCTGCGCGAGGACGACGACGACCTGGAGAACCAACCCAATCTGTTGAAGGCCCACATGCAGATCTCCCGGCTGCGCGACTTCCGGGACGAGGCGATGGATCAGATCCGCAAGGCGCAGGACCCGAGCAGTGAGCAGACGCTGGGGGATTTTTTTCAAGGCCTGGATTCTGTCATCGACTGGTTCGATGATCATCTGGGCACCGCCTGCATGAACCTCATCCCGCTGGTGCAGTCGGACAACCCGGGCATGGTCGTTCGGCTGGCGGTGGTGGTGATGAACGAAGAGAAGAACGACGAGAGGGTTCGGGCGCTGCAAGAGGCGCAGAAGGACCACCAGGACCTGGCCGATCGGTTCAAATCGATGAACGTGGGGCCCAAGACCGTGCGGGGCTACAAGGAGAAGTTCCTGAAGGCCATTGAATTCTACGCCCAGAACCAGTTCGAAGAGGCCAAGGAGGAGTTCCTGTCCAACCCCGACAATCTGGACAAAAGCTTCCGGTGGTTCTTCAATGATCTTTACACGGTTCAGCAAGGTATGCAGCCGCTGATGCCGAAGAAGTGGAAGATCTACAAAACGTACACGAATATGTATCATCGCATGATCCACGATCTCTTCATCGGGATGATCAACGACCCGGAGCTGCCGGCCGACAACCTGCTCGCCATCATCCACTGGACGGAGAAGTACTACAAGAAGATGGCCAAGCTGGGCTGGCAACCGGCCGACCTCCAACCTAATCTGCTCGACGACCGCGAGCCCGAGCTGATCCGGCAGTGGCAGAACATCATCATCCGTGCCGTGGAAGACTGGACGCAGCGGATCGCCGAAACTGAGAAGAAGAATCTCGTGGAGCGGATCCCGGACTCGCTGGACACCAACCCGGAGGGCTGCTTCCGGACCAAGACGCTCCCCGACATGTGGCGGATGCTGCACGAGCAGATCATGGCGTCGGGGGCCTCGTCGCGGACGGACGTTGTGGAGGGGATCATCGACGCCATGTTCGCGGTGCTGAAGGGCCGCCAGACGGCGTGGCAGGCGCTCGTGGACGAGGAGTGCGCCAAGTACAAGGCAGCCGGCGGGGACCAGCTCGACGGGCTGCAGCTGCTGCAGGACTGGCTGATCGCGATCGCGAACGACCAGATCGCGTGCATCGACGACAACGAGGAGACGGGCCAGCTGGGCTACCTGACGCGGTTCAAGCGAGACTTCGAGACGATCGTGGACCCCAAGTACATGGCGGGGCGGGCGCTGCCGGAGCTGGAGGCGCTGCGCGACGGCTACGTCGACCTCAGCACCCACTGCCTCAACCAGTTCGTCGAGCTCGTCTTCGCCGTCGACTTCCGCACCACCATCCCGGACTTCTTCACCCCGAAGTGGTACGGCGACTTCGCCGTCAAGCGCATCACCTCCACCTTCGAGGACTACATGGCCGACTACACCCCGGTGCTGCACCCGTCCCTCATCGACATCCTCGTCGAGGAGCTCTCCGACGAGCTCCTCGTCCGCTACCTCGCCTCCGTCCGCAACCGCGGCGTCAAGTTCCGCCGCCACGCCGACCCCTACACCGACAAGTTCAAGGACGACGTCCTCACCGTCTTCGCCTTCTTCCAGAAATACCCGGATTCCTTCGCCGGCACCATCAAGCAGAAGTGGCGCCTCGTCGACTGGCTGGTCCGCCTGCTCGAGGCCGACAAGGGCCCCGCCCTCGTCGCCGTCTACGAGAGCTTCAAGACCGAGTACTGGGACCTGCAGCTCTCCTGGGTCGAGGCCGTCGTGCGCACCCGCGACGATTTCGAGCGCAGCATGGTCAGCGCCATCAAGGCCAAGGCGGCGGAACTGTCGGTCGAACGGGGCATGGAGACGCTCATGAGCAAGGTCCGGTGATTTTTTCCAGAGGTTTTTGTTTTTCTCTCGGTGTGTGTGTGCTGTGTCGACTTGCTCTCCGGCCTTGGGCAGGAAAGGAACCGGCTGGCCTGTTCGGTGCCGTGGCATTTCTGGTTGTCTGTTTCCAGCGTGGCGTTTAGGTGTCCCGCCCGGAGAAGAGGGTTTTGGGTATTGTTGGTTGCTTATAAACAAACCGCCTTATATAAATACAGAGGAAAAGTAGGCTGCGTTTCCTTAGATCAAACAAATAGCATTGGTCAGATTCTGTTTCTGCATTCAGTTGTAGGAAGGCCGGCAAGTAGAGCTGTAGATAGAGTAGACATGTTTTTCAGACGAACCTCTAGAATGTACATACGAGGGGGTACAAACACCCGGACGTATATTGAACCAAACAAGCCCCCCCTTCCCCAATTTCCAATAAAATCCTTCCCTTCCCAGCCCCTTTCTCTCTTGTATCATCATAGCAAGCTTCTTTGCGCAATAACCTTGAGCATCATTCTCCGCGCTTTCCCCACCGGGGTGGATTGATCACACTGGCGGTAATATCCACCGGGGCTGAGCTGAAGTGATTCTAGCCGAACATTCTTGGCCCAGACGAATGCATTGGGCTTGGCGGGAGGGCTACCTGACGTTCCTTGGGCGCTTCCCGTGGGGGTCTTCGGCGATCCCACATGCTCACCCTCGTAATCATCTTCTCCTTCCAAACACTCATGAAAGACATCCGTTTCCCACCGGAACTGCTCGTCCATGGTTTGCTCGCAGCGCGGCATCGTCCTCTCTTCGTCGAGATAATAGTCCCGAAAATGGTCGATGAGACCGCGGACGTCCACCGCGTGTTGCAGTATATTATCACCCACCCGAACACTCGTGCTTGCCAAGGTGGTATGTATTTGGTGGACTTTCCATCCTCTCTTGTCCTTGGGGGCCGGGAGTCGTCGCGCGTTGTTTGGTTTGGAAAGCCGGGAAACGTCTTCCAGTGATTCTTCATGAGAAGAAGAAGACGAGGACTTCGTCACGGAAGATGATTCCGAACCGATTTCAACTACGTCCGCCGAGGCTGACTCCGCAGCCAGCTCCTCGTCCCCCGGCTGCTCGGTAGGAGGCGGCTGATCGTCCTCCAGCCGGTAGGCCGAAATCTCGTCCTCATCGCTGTGATCGTCCCAAAGGAAGCCGGCTTGGTGGAAGCTCCGGCGGAGATACATCAAGAAGTAGTGAAGGCGGAGAGTGGGATCGACAGGAACCGTGCAGAGGTGACGGGCTGCCTTGGGCGAAGGGAAGCCGACCAGGCTCTCAAAGGAGACGGTGAGTGGTCGGGGCCGGGTCCCGAGGAATAATGCCAAAGACTTGTCTTGTTGTGAGGGCTCGGCGGGAATATACCCGGCGAGTTGTCGGAAGGCCTCTTGATCTGCCAGGCGCCTGATGGCATCAAGATCGAGGGTCTCGAGGAATTGACAGGCCTCTTGAACGCGTGCTTCGGTGTGTAGTGTCATCATCCCCACGGTCAGATGTAGAGTGCCGGGCGGGCGGAGATTGCGACGCCCCAATACGCCGCCTGGTAGATAGTTGCCAAATGTGTGGTATGCCGTCACCCATTGCTGGAGAGCGCTGCCTTCAAACACAGGTATCACGAATATGTGCTTTTTGTGGTAAGCTTGGTTCAAGCTAAGTTTCCGTTGGCTGACAATGACGGCCTTAGAATCAGGGCGCGCGTAGTGACGGGCAGGACAATAATTGAATGTTATCTTTGAGGTGATATACCTCAAGGAGGGCCGGGAGGCGGACATCTAGGATCGGTGTGCGGTGGTGATCGCTATTGACGAAATAACATTGTAGATCGAGAGATTGGAGGAAGGTTAGCTGAGCAACACGGCCAGCATGATGCGGCGGAACCTGTCATCCGAAACTAAGAGAGTGTGCGCGAAGACTCAACAGCGTGTGGTAGCAGGCAACATCCATAAATGCGAAGGAAGTAGGGAGAAGTAAAGAAAGAAGAGATGGAGCAAGACAATTCGAGGTTCTCAGAAGGTGGAGTGCTGGAGCCCACCTGGCAATGGAAAGAAGATGGAAGTTGGTTGTGGTCGGAGCGGCTGCCGTCAGAGCAATCCAATCAGAGTGCGAGGCAGCTTACCTTATGCTGTGATGAAATCATCTCCGCTTTTCCCCCCATTTCTCCAGTCGCAATAGTGCTCTTTCACTTCAGTCTGTCTTGCTCATTTCTTCTCTTACCTATCTTAGCTTCTCCTCTAGCATTCTCTACCAGACAATCACCACCTATCATCAATCATGTACTCTCGTGCCTCCCGCGCCATCGTGGCCGCCGTCGCTCGTCCAGCTCTCCGCACCGGCGCCGGTGCTCACCTCGCACCAGCAGCAACAGCCACAGCAGCAGTTGCTTCCCTGCCTTCGCAATTGACCCCTTCCACATCTCGATTCCTTCTTCCGCAACGAAGCTTCCACTCCACTCCCTCAACCCGCAAAGGCATCTTCCCCGACTCCGCCGACCCCGCGGCCCCGAACCCGCAATCGCACAACGTCGCCGGCGCCGCCGCCCACGTCTCGGAGCCGTCCCCATTGACCGATGGGCAGTACCATGACTACGCCGAGCACTACCTGAACACCGTTCTCGAGGAGGTGGAATCTCGTCAGGAGGAGGGCTCAGAGATTGAGGCCGAGTATAGTGTGCGTTTTTGCCCTTCCCCTCTCCCCCCACCTTCATTCAAGCTAACATCTTGCCCGTGTGTGTGGGCGCTAATATATTCCAGGCCGGAGTCATGAACGTCACCGTCCCCGGCGTAGGGGTATACGTGCTCAACAAGCAGCCCCCCAACAAGCAAATCTGGCTGAGCTCGCCCATCTCCGGCCCCAAGCGGTTCGACTGGGTGCTCGAGGGCGACCAGATGCATGAGAAGCAGGACTCTCGGCCGTTCGCCAACGGGCAGTGGATCTATCTGCGCGACGGCACGAATCTGACCGATCTGTTGAACCATGAATTGACCTTGAACCTGCCGAAGGATATTTACAGTGAGTTGGATTAGTGGGACGGTGCATCATTGTCAGGAATATATGGGATTTTCGTTGCATTGAAGAGATGATTTTACGAGGTGGTTTTTACTATAAGAAAGGGGTCATGTAAATTATTGACTGTGCTAGGGAGAATTTCTGGAGACTTTGCTTTTTTTCGTTATTTCGACTGTCAGGTAACCGCTAGACCAATTGATATACGATTTCGAGATGAGTTGGTTGGGATGGTCCGCTTGCTGCGCACATCTGTAGGCTGTGTAGTCTTGCTCTCCAAGCCAGTGGATGACATCTGATTGGCTTTGTTGCGACCAACTTGTGGTTGAGAGGTTTACACGGGACGAGAGAATAGCCTAACGTCCGGCCACCCAGTGTTTGCGACCAGAATTGGCGACCCGCTGTGCGTCGATGGATGTCCATGATGGGGCAGGCCATATGTATGGACCCAGTCGTGACTGCCCACAGTCATCGCAGCCCAACCATCTCCAGGACAGCTGAGCGAGTACAAGCCTGCCCGGCCGATGACGCTCGGTTTGGGCGTGACCGCACGCCCATCTCACAACGAACCATCCCAGCATAACAGTCCACTGGGCATATGATTGATGAACCCGCGATCGGCAAGACCAATTCATCCCGCGCAGCCCACCCCCCTGTGAGTGATACTCAACTCAACTCGATCGATCGCAGTCTGCCAGAGGAAAAAAAAGCGCTCTGATTCCGCCGATCGGTAACAACGAGGTTAAGGACCCTTCAAGCCTGAACGGCAACCGCGCCCGCGGACCCGTTCTTATCGTCATCCTTCACGAGATCAGCCTGCATGGAGGAGAGGATCACAGATTAGCCACAAGCCCGCATAACGTATGGATGTAGTGGCAAAAGAAACTCACCTCGTCGAAAATCACCCGGATCATCAGACTGCAACTAGGACAGACGGCGATTTCCTCGCCGTCGCGGAGGTCGTCGATCGCGATCTCGAACCGATCGCCACACGGGCACGGGTAGTGGTAGATCTGGAGGTTGGGGTCGAAGGTCATGTCTTCGATTTCGATTTCGTCGTAGATGGAGATCGCGTCGTCAGCCATTTTGGATGTGATATGAAGATTTGTGAGTGGATCGGGTAATGGGTTGACTGATATTGACTGATATAAATTCTCTGCTGGGGGGAGGAGGCGTGATCTTGTTCAAATTGGAGATTGATAAAGTTATTTTCCCTTTGGTTTATCGCAAAGGGAAAACTTTTGGCGGGATCGAGTCAGGTGATTTATTGAATGCGGGGTGGCTGATTGGTTATCGTCAGGTACAGTACAGCGGCCATCACCACCTGCACTGTACTTGGATACTACTAGACTACTAGGTACCTTTGATATCTTCGCAGACAAGAGATGAGACTAGCATACGTGGTATTCGCAGTCATGTGAAATAGGGTATCATGTCAAACAATCATCAAGCATCACTCTACCGCAACTCGGCCATCCGCCGTGTCTCGCCTCTCACCCGCTCAACCTCTCGCATCAAAGTCCAGCATCGGCGATAAACCTCTCCCATGGTTTCCGGCTCGGAGCGCATTGAATCTTCAGACGCACCCTCCCCTCTATCGGATTCATCCTCTGCCACAATGCCATACGCTTTTAATTCCTCCAATGCATCCGCACGCCTCTCTTCCAGACGCTCCCGCGTATCCTCAAGATGATCCCAATACCGACCCAGCGCCGCAACAACCTCCGGAGTATGGATCGCGGCCGAAATCTCCAGCTTCATAACACTGATAAATCAGAACAACTTACAGTCAGTCACCGCCTCCATGTCCTCCAAAGGCATAAATCCAGCCTCCATGAAATCGGAGAGACAGAATGACATACCTGAGCCTGCCTTCCAGCCCCTGCGCGACCGTGGCCAAATGCTCTGCCTTGGCCTTCGTGGCCCGAGCGAATGCCCCATGCTTCGCCCGTTCAAGAAGCATCACCGTCCGTTCTAACACCGCAGTTCGCGTCGCCAGAACTTCGGCAGCTGTCGCAGCCATGCGGGTCCGCGCTGCGGGTAATTCGCTCAATTGTCTATGGCGCAGGGCCTGGATGCGCTTGTCCAGCCGCGAGGAGAGTGTGATCTGCTGCGCAACGGTTCTTCTGCTGCCAGTTGCTGTCTGGCGCGTGCGGGCGCGTGTCCGAGGACCTTCCGCGGGTGAAGCGGCGGCGGCGGCGGGTTCATCTGGATCTATTCCTGCATCTGTGATTGCACGCAGATCGCTCAGGTCGGCCAGCAACATGCGGGAAAAAGGCTCAGCAAGATCTGGGAGGCTGGAGTAGAATAGGTCGATGTCTGGAGTGAGGAGTTGAAGGGCGGTGTCGGTGTCGGGCTGATCGTCGTTGTCGGCAGGAAGGTTGATCGCATCGGGGCGGGATTCGAGGTAGAGGTATACGATCGCTGCGGGGTCTTGATACTTTTGTTCGATAAACGAGAATCCACCGTTTCATGTCAGTGGCGCATAATGGCAACATGCAGCAGCAGCATGCTTAGGGGTCACTCCGCTTCCCTTACCTCGTCCGGGAGCTCGCTATCGGGGTCAAATGCCAGTCGTCGCAATGTCTGCTTTGTGATCTTCTTCCTTGCATCGCGGATGCGACAGTCGTTCAATTCCTAGTTCGCAGCATGAAGCCATATTTAGAGGAACGGCTGCTAAGGCTATCGCGGACTACCATGCTGACATACTTCCAAAAGCGCCGTTCTTGCCGGCTGTGCATCATTGGCGCGCGTCGAGCCATCCGGGTTGAGAAACTTTGTAGTCACTTGTTCATAGAGGTGTTTGAATTGAGGGTTGTTCTCAAGAATGACTGGATCGCACGGCGGGATCATCGTTGGGGTAGCGATTGCGGGGGCGGATTTGTGAGGATGTTTCCTTTGCTCGGTCTTGTTGGGGTACTCCGTAGTAGTAGTTGGATCTCCCGGGCCGCGGCGACATTGAGCGGCTCACCGCCCTCTGCTAGGCAACGAGGCCTTCCTTCGAAGCTCCCCACAGAGGCCGGGCTACTTAGAGGGTTTACCACAGACTGTTCCATACGATTACGAACGGAGAAAATGTTCATTTGAAGACCAACGTGGCCTGTATAGCACAAGTAATGCTTCGCAATCGCTTCCGTTTTCACGTTTCTTTCGTAATCATACACAAACCCTCACCACTCCCACCACGCTTTGCTCACTGAATCCAATCACCGTTGCCTGAAAACTGGTCGTTTCGCCAGCTCAAGGCTAAACCGACGACTGTCCAATGAAAGCAAACTCAATCTTCCAACATTGTCACGCTGTGCGGTCGACAGTTATGCGGATCACCCGGCGCATCCCCCGGCCTCGCCTTATGTACAGTTTTGGAGAGTCCGAGGGACACATCGAGCCATCCTCCAGATGTCAAAGGGGTCGCTAGGGAAAAAAGAGAAATGACTTAAGAAACGAACGGTAGCTCATTATTGTATGGAGAACATGGCAAAAAAGACAAACAAGAGTAAAGGGTGTGCGATGGTGAGAGATGAGACTAGCAATGGCTTCAAGTGGTAGGAGCGTATACCACCATCGGCTAAAGCCCCATGGTAGATAAATGGCAGGCTTCCTGCCTAGCAGGCACTTACTCCTCCTCGCTCTCCTCAGAATCATCTTCCGAATCATCGCTACTCTCATTGGCCTCGACAGAGGGGACAGGGTCGGGTGAGCGGCCACCACCTCCCTGTGAGAAGCGCGACAAGTTGCTTTCGAGCATGTTGATCTGCGCCTCCTGCTCATACTTGCTCATGGGTTTGTTCTTCTTGGGCTTTGGGGCAGCAGTCGTAGTGGAAGTCGCCGCAATGGGAGTTGCAACTTCCTCATCCTCCATCACATGAGGCGCGTTCTTCTTGACAAAGCGAAGCAGGAGCACAAGAACCTCGTTGGGAAGCTCATCGATATCAAGCTCAATCTCTGTCTCTTGTGTACCCTTTTCCAAATGTTAGCTTCACGGCCCATCTTCACGGTGAGGGAAAGGGGGGATAGCATACCTTAAGAGCCGGGACGTTGCTCTGAATAATCTTGAGCGCTTCCTGCATCTTCTTGTCGGGAAGACTACTGATTCCATTGGAAATGATCTGCTTTTCCTGGTAGGTGACCCAGCGCTGCTTCTCAGGCTTGGTACTCTTGGTGCTGATCTTCTTGTCCTTCTTGACATTGCTCGAGCTTACACTTCCAGGCTTCTTGACCTCCTTCTTCAAGGGAGGCTTGGACTTGCTGATCTTCTTGGAGCCAGGAGGAGTCTTCTTCTTCTTCTGGGTGATGGCCTCAATCTGACGAGACATCTCTTCCATCTGCTTCTGCAGCAGACTGAGTTTTTCCGCATCGTAATCACTTTCCTCCGCCTCTTCTTCACTCTCTTCCTCGGAAGACTCTGCAGCGCTCTGATGCTCAGGGTGAGGTTCGTGGGTTTCGAGATACCGGGTCTTTTGAGCCCATTTTTGGTTAAATATCTCTTCCAGACGCTGGCCGGCAACATATGTGGGATCGCCGGGGATATTGAACTTGAAACAATTCTTAAAGATCAAGCGCATATCTAATTCAAATTCTCTGGCGTTCTCGTATTGACCAGCCTTCAGTTTGGTCTGTACAGTAGATAGATCCATCGGTTTCTTGATGATGCTGTGGTAGGTAGGGATGTTGAGAGCGACGGGGTCAACAGGATAGTAAAAAGGCGCGGCGTAGTTGAAATGTTTGGGCTTGTACATTTCCTCGCATACTTCGGTACAGAAGCGCAGCTCCCATTGGTATTTCTTCTTCTTCGGCTTTGCAGCGTAGGGAAGATCACGCTTGGGGGGGTGGATGGAGCGTTTGGGACGACCATCTGCATTGGCAGCAGAGTCACGACGAATCAGTGGCAAACCCTCCGGGCCTAGAGCGAAAGTAGTGGACTGAGGAGAGTTGCCGGTAGGGCGTGCCGTACCAGGGCTCGGCGCCGCCCGGGGTTCTCGACGGGCTGCCGAAGTCTTGGGAGGGAGTTTCTTTGCCTTCTTCTCTTCCGGCTCATCAGGTCTGGGGAGATTGTGCATCTGCTTCTCAAAAGTTCCTCTGAGTCTCTGACCCTCAATTGTGACCAAGTGATCGGGGCCGTTGAAGGTTAAGGAGTTTTGGCACATCAGTCTGAAATCATCTATCACAGCCTGTGCGCTTCTGTACTCGTTCAGTTTGAGTTTCCGTTCAATGGTTCCTAGATCCATTGGCTGCTTGATGATTTGCGGATAATGGGGAATGTTTAATTTGATCGGATCCACGGGTTCTCGGTAGAATCGCGAGTCGTGCATGCGTTTCAGGCTCGTAATCGACTTGAGCAAAAATTTGTGTTGAACCTTGGTGATCCCACCATATCCATTGCTCGAGCCAGTGGAGCGGCTTTCATGAGCCGGTGTAGGTGCGCTAGGAGCCTTAAAGTCGGTTGACGACGCGCCTTCTCCGCCAAACTTGGTTCGCTTAGCAGCGGGTTCATCACCATGATCAGTCTCTCGCTCCCTCGTCACCTTCGTCGGGGACGCTGGAACCACCGGAGCGTCACGCATTTCGTGGTCAACGCTTGGAAGAGGCGTCACTGCAGGAATAGATCTAGCAGCATCGCTTTTGGACGGGCTGGTGGAAGGATGGTGGGGAAGTTCTGTTTTCACAGATCCAATATTCTGTGATAACTGTGCAGTGCTCTCCACTTTGGCATCGGACGTATCAGTTGATGGCTTTGACGTATCCGGTGACGCCTGTGTGTTTTTGGGACTAAGGGTGTCCGCGCCCGTGAGCGGAGCCTTCTCAGTAACAGATGCGCTGTTACTTGCAGTAGCCTTGTCTCCCTCGCCAGTCGCAACTGAATCCACGTTTGAAGGTTTTTTATCTTCGGACGCGACGGCTGGCTGTGTGGGTGTGTCTGTACTCGGCAGAGAAGGCGACTTGGGTGGAGAAGCGGTTGCAGACAGACCGTTTGCGACGACAGTTTGTTCGGCACCATGACCATTGACAGCAGCGGACTTCGTGTCTTCCGAGGGCTTCTCAGCACCGTTGACGGGCGCATCGGGCTTCACACCGACTACAGCATCTTGGGAACTATGACGATGGTCAGCGACGAGGCGTAGACAATGACAAGTGAAGTTGCAAAGATACGTACCTTGTGCGATCGACACCGGCAGGCGAGACTCCATTGGGCGACGGCGGCAGTTGAGGCTTCTCCTCCTTGAAGTCAGAAGGGGCCTCCGGAGGCGGCGTCGCCATTTGAGGTCGCTGTGAAGAAAAGCCCGCCTTGGGGTGGCCGAGATACAAAAAATCTAAGCAGGCGGCGATTCCGATGAGAGTCTCGGTTACCCAAGGATTTTAGGAAGCGACGGCAACAACAATCAACTGAATAGGTAACACTCTGCGCTATCACAGACTAATGAATGGATTCGATAAGCGGGCGAGCAAGTAAGCTGATTAGATGACAGATGACAGAAGGGAAAACCGGTTGAATGAGCAGTCCCAGTTTGATGCGACGCCACGGGAGTTGCAGCAGATACAGGAAAGGATGAAGATTAGCGCGGGTCGCAAATGTGGAGAATGCGACAAGGCACTGGGCAAGTACTTATATCGCCAAGAGGCGGCGAGCGGTAAATGCAGTAGTCACGTGGGCGGCAAGCGTGGGTTAGCTAAGCGGAAGGCAGCGGCGCCAGACGGATGTAAAAGAAAACGATATCAGAACCGTATGGGAACAGGGGGAATGAAGAGGAATTGAGATAAGATGGCAATCAAGGGAAAGTCACTGAAGGCCTGGAGTTGTTGAGATGTTCAACCGTCAATCAACACACGTGCCCTTGTTCGTGCCTTAGGCCGATGAAAGGTTTTGGCGACGCGTTGGTGAAGAGAAAGGGAAGGACACGGATGGAATTGGGTTCGGGAGCTTGGACGGAAGTCGTTGCTAATAATAATAAGAAAGGGGAAAGGGGGAAGGTGAAAATAATAAAACCCCAAGGGTAAAAAAAGAAAAAATAAAATAAATTTATCCCAAATAAAATAAGCAGCTGCAGTAGATAGCTGTGGCTGGGATCGAACGGGTGAGCGCGCGACGCGATACAAGACGCGTGAGTAATATCCAGGGGCAACCGAGGATAATACAGGCTGCAACAGCTTAAGAAGCAGAGAAAGGCGAGTGAGGTGGAGGGCGGTCAGAAGAGGAGGAGGGAATGGGGGGTGTGGTGTGTATGGTAGTAAAGTAGGGGAAAAGCGTGACCGGCGCGCAGCTCTCAGCTCTCAGCTCCAGAAACAGAGACAGAGAAAGTCGGAGGGGGTGCTAGAATCCTTAAGTACGAACGGCCGCGTCGCGCCCGTCCGCTCTCTGCCGCTAACTCCATCTGCTACGCTAGTCCCAATTTATCTAGTTCAAGCCATTCTACACCTCCTCATTGGTTCGCCGATGACGCGTTCGACGGATTTCCGGTTACTATTGGTCGTATCCGACCCTGGTCTTTGTCGGAAACATCCTCGAAGCCAGACACCAAGACAGAGAGTGTAATGGTAAAAAGGAAAAAAAAAAAAAAATTCGAGGTTGTCCACTCGGTGAGTGATGGATGAGGACGGCACCTTCGAAAACAAAAGCAACTGATCCAGATCACTGAAAGGTGGGACTACCGATATGCACCCTGTGAGTCCATCGACCAGATACATCACTATGGTACCTTGGCCAAGTGAGATCAGATATGACATACCCGATTAAAGTGTGTTAGGCCTTCAGCGGTGGGAGGATGCATCATGGATCTAATGGGAAGCTTACAGACCTGCTGGCCGCCCGAAGCCAGGATGTGTTGGTCTGCTGACCTGGTGTAACCCCAGGGTTGAGCCCTGAGCCCTCCTTGCATCGCATCCGGTTTAGTCCGAATGCTGATGTAACCAGCCCCTTGGGTCGTTGCAAATCAAATCTCCGAGTGGCCAGGTCCGAACATTCAACGGATTTAACGGATTTGTCATGCTCATAAGAACGCGCATCGATGAGTTGGAAACAGTGTGTTTGTGTCGTGGAGGTGAGAGATTCGTAGAGGTTCCCGCCACTATCATCAAATCAGACGCTGGACCTCACCGAGGACATGACGCCTTTAGGTCATGGGTTTCGATGAGTATGACACATATCGATTTCCGGTCGCTCGGCGCTTCTCGAAAGGATGACTCGTCTAGGCAGCCGTTCACAAACCATGGCGCCTGTTATTTTGATTAGCCATACTGTTGGGTTGCTCCATTAGGTCGGTCATGTCTTGTAGCAGTTGAGAATTTTTTGTTCTCAGGGAGAAGAGGGACTTGAAGATTTGAAGGCTGTGGCACATCTGTTCCTGTAACCATGGCTAATCTAACCAACTGGCTGTTGGCAGGTAACCCGGGAATTGCCGCCCTGGCAGCGCGAGTAACTGCGATGGTGATCACAGGGAAGAAATGAAATGACAGCAAAGCGCAGAGTTTCCCCTGGTCTCATCGAAAGCATCGGCGCTTGGGGTCGAGATACGTTGGAAGCGGGAATGGTCTGTCTTCCAGGGCTCTCTGGCTCTCAAGACCCTGCACGGTAAGTGTGATTTGAGGCTGTTGATGACTTCTAATGAGAATGAAAAGCATTGCATGAGATTCTCAACCGTAAGTTGTATCAGAGGGATACCAGGGTATTCTTTTCCGGCCTATTCTTCTCTGCACGTAAGATTTTGTGGGACAAGAAGTTGATTAGAGGAAGAAGGCTACGTACCGGCACCTCACTCCTCCGTACAATTGTGCTTGGCTGTAGCGGAGGATTAGATAAGACACCCGGAGCGGAACTCGATCACGGGCGGCTAAACCGCAACAGGCCAAGCGCATCTCTACAGAACTTTTTTTTCCTCTTCAGCAACCTCAACTTGGGTCCAGAAAGTCGGCGACGGTCGACCAGCACAACAGTCTTTCAGAGTCAAGAAGTTGTCGCTCGAATTTGCTGTGGGGTCAGGCTCTTTATCGCCTTCTGCTACCTCCTTCGCGACACGGACACATTTCCATTTATCGCCTTGATTCCACCCGCAGAGTCCATCCAAAATGGCCAAGAAAGCGTCTCGTCCGGCCGCTTCGAAAACTTCCACCGCTGCGTCGCCCGCGGTAACAGGATCGACACAGATCGGAAATCAGTCTTCAATCTTGAAGGCGTCTTTCGCTCCATCAGAATACCAACTGACACTCTTCGCGTCGGTCATCCAAGGCCTTGGTGCTCAGCATCTCCGCATTCACGATACGAACACAGGACGGTTACAGTGCGAGCATGTTTTGGGTCCTAAGGAGATTGTGACCTCACTAGACTGGGGTTATTTCGCCGGTCGCCAGAAGGACAAGGATCAATCGAAGAAGAAGAGAAAGAGGAATTCCGATATCAATGGGGGCGCTTTCGATCAGGGCGATGTCGTCGTCGCCTTTGGAACCAACACTTCTGAGATCCGAATGTATTCGCCTGTCGATGATAAGATTGTCGGCACACTTGTTGGTGGACACGACAAGGGAATCAAAGATTTCAAGTTTACTATCAGTCGGCCCGGACAGGAGGGTTGGAGCATTGGCGGAGATAGCAAGCTAGTGCAGTGGGACCTCCGCACCGGACAGAGGACAAGGTAAATTCAGCCCCAGTCACCTCTTACCAAGGTCATTCTTTCGGTTAATCATGTCTTCAGAACCGTTCATCTACCTTCCACGTCGACATATAATACACTCTCGCGTCCGCTTCCTTCTAACCCCCATGTCATCTGCGCCTCGCAAACGCCGTATATTGTTAGCGTGGAGAAGGACGAACCGCCTGTGTCGTTCGATGCTATGCGCAATCCTATCAGACAAATCTTCACATCTTCAGCAGAGTCTGCAGGGACGGGATTGTTCCTCGTATCCGATAGTGATCGCTACATTAATGTCTTCGATGCCGAGAAACAGGGACTTGTCATGAACCTTGTGGCTGAGCAGGGTGTGAGCTCCCTAGCTTTGTATACCGGCGTCGAAAAGAGCGGCGATGCTCTACAGGTAGAGAAGCAAGTTCTCGCCGCTGTGACTGAGGATGGCACGATTGAACTCTTCACGCGGCCATTCGTAACGCCCGTTGAGCAGACTTCTGCCAAGGGTGCTGCTCAACAGAGGGCCAGATCTAAGCAGGCCATCAGGAGAGCAGAGGCATCGATCAAGGTCACCATGTCTGCTACTTCCGAGGCGCTTGTGTCAGTTGTGGCAGCGACGTTCCAAGGTTCCGACCTGGTTGTTGTCTGGGCTGACGGTGGTGTCGTTCCTGTCTTCGAGCGGATCCAATGGCTCGATGAGGAAACCGACGAGGTGTTGTTCACTGGCACTAGGACCTTTCCTAGAACCAAGACTGGCGGAGTTTTGGGTTCCGTCACCACGAACGGAACAAGAAGCGCCAGAGAAGACGATGTCGACCAGTCCAGGGCCACGGTAGAGCAGGGAAACATCATTGAAGATGACATCGAAATGCAAGATTCTAAGGAGGATGCTGCTTCCCAGGCCGATAGCGAAGAAGAGTCCGACTCCGACGCCGACAACGAGAAGCCCTCGAAGCAGTTGCAGAAGAAGGAGGAGGACAGCGATGTTGAAATGGGTAATGAGCAAGAGTCAGGCTCCGAGGACGAAGAGGAGGAGACTGGCGAGCCGTCTTTCGGTGAGCTTGTGCGCGCTAACCAGGAAATCGTTGACGTTGAAGCCGAGCTCGAGGACGACGTGCATATGGGATCCTTGATTCCCGGAAAGCCAAACGCCGCGATCCAGCAAATCCCTTCGGGCGTGTCACTGTCCACCGTTCTCACTCAGTCTCTTAAGACCAACGATACCGCTATGCTCGAGTCATGCTTCCACACCGGCGACCTCTCTATCATCCGCACTACCATCCAACGCCTCGACTCTTCCCTGGCAGCCACTCTCCTTCAGAAACTTGCAGAGCGCCTTTCCGGTCGCCCCGGCCGTTACGGGCACCTTCTCGTCTGGGTTCAATGGACCTGCGTCGCGCACGGTGGAGCTCTTGCTGGTAAGCCCGAGCTTCTGAAGCGGATGTCGACCCTCTTCAAGATCATGGAGCAGCGCTCTTCAAGCCTTCCTTCGCTGCTCCTGCTCAAGGGCAAGCTCGATATGTTGGACGCCCAGCTCGGATTAAGACGGTCGATTCACAACGGTGAAGAACCCATGGACAGCGAGGATGAGGAGAACATCATTTACGTGGAGGGACAGGAGGACGAATACGAGGACAGCGACGCCGAGGCGAACAAGAACACCGTCACACCCCGCACCAAGTCGATACGCGACCAGACCTACGACGAGGAGGAGTCGATGATGAACGGCGTGCACTACGGTGGAGACTCTTCCGAGGATGAAGAAGAAGGCAGCGAGGAAGAGGAGGACGAGGACGAGAACATCCTCGATGTCGAGGCGGAAGAGTCCGCTGGCTCCTCGGATGCGGAAGAGTCCCTCGAGGAAGACGAAGACGAGGATGCCGAGGATGCCGAGAGCGTCGGCTCCATGGTGGACTTCATCGCAGACACGGAGGACGAGGAAGAGTCTGATGACGAGGCCACTTCCGCCCCTCAGCCTCCGCCTTCCAAGAAGGCCCGGCTGGCCAGCGGTGGCGGTGGTGGACGAGGCAAGGGCAAGAAGACAGGCAGAAAATAGGCGATAGATCAAATTCTCTCTTTTTTTTTTGTTCACTCTCATCACCTTGTCATCCCATTTTCTACCACCTCACCTACCTCTCCTACCATTAGATTTTATACCCCCGTTCTTCATCAGGCAACAGTAATGTTGGTGTCATTCTTCCCGGATGTTCTATTATTGCCATCAACCTAAAAAGTACAGAGAGAGAGGGAGGGATGTGTTGAGTTACGAGTAAAGGATCATGTTTTGATTGGTTGTAATTGGGATTTTTTTTTTTTTTTTTTTTTTTTCTTGTCGTTTTGTGCTAGAATTAGGGCGTGAGAAAATCAAAAAGGAGGGAAGGAAGGGGTAGTGTGAATATGTGAATATATATCAATTATCTTTCTTCATCTCATCCCCCGGCTAATGCAACCCTAAATATATATCTCTCCAGCCACGTGACATACCAATCCCATAAGCCAACACACTCAAATCACCCCAGCATCTTCCCCCCCTTCCTCACAAGCCCCCGAATGCACCACCTGATGCGCCGGCACCTCCGACAAGGGCACCTCCACCGCCACCGTCATCTCGCCGGACGGATACGTCGTCGCATGGCCCTCCGCGCTCACCTCTTTAGTGTCCAGCGCCAGGATCGCCCCGTTCTTGCCCCCGGTCACCCACGCCTCATCCTCCGAGGTCGGGAGCGTGATATGCGCCACGCCGGAAAGGAAAATCACCCATCTGGTTTGTTTCGGGGCATGTTACTTTAGGGACAGTACAGTACAGTACACGCGACTCAGAACATGGAACGATACGGGAAGGAGAGGTGTGACTTGACTTTATGGTGATGGGTTTTATGGTCTATGTTGGTGGGTGAGAGGGGAAACAACATACTGCAGCGCGGGAGCATTGTGTTGGCCGCCGTCATAGTGGGCGGGGATGAGGATGTTGGTTGCGTTGCCGGTGATGCGGCCTAGGTTGAGGACGGCGTTGCCGGAGACGCCGGCCTCGGAGGTTAGGGAGTAGCCCGGTTGCAGGGCCCAGCATTCGAGCACGGAGTGGTTGTTGTGGGCTGTGAGTGTGGTGATGTTGAGGGTGCTGGGGAATGTAGTATCGGTAGTCGTTGTGGTGTTTGTGGTGGTGGTGGTGGTGGCTGCTGCTGCTGATGCTAGGGCAGTGGTGCTGAGGGCTAGGATGCTTGAGATAAGGTTGATAGTGATAGTGGTGAATACGCCCATTGTGGATGGTTGCAGGTCCGAAGCAAGGCTTGATTGAGGTCGGTGGGTATGGAGGGAAATAGAGTGGTTGAAATGCTGTAGTACTGAGCACTGTACGGAGTACAAGAGGCAGGATGCTGTAGGCGATGAGCTACATATATGATAAGAATTTTGATGACGTGCCACCCGAGGGCTGAAAATATCCGAGTAATTGAATTCACAGCACAGTGGGCTCTTTATTCCAAGTAAGTCTATTGATGATCATTGGTTCCGGAATGCAAGATCGCGGTGAAAAAGGCTTGAGTCAGTTTAGACGCGCTATTGATGTATGAACAAAACCCATGCAGCAAGGATCGTCGGCCCGGTCCGATTCCACAGGCAGGAGGGTTCCCATCCTCCATGAGGTATGCATGCCAGAGAGATCTCATTGAAAGAATAATGGGTGACTACAATTTAGTAGTTAGCGGGTTGTAATAATGATATGCACCTACGGCAAGCTTCGCGATCCACGTCGCACTGGTATCAGGATCGCTGGTATCAACGAATGATTTCATCCCCCGGTTTCTCTAGACCTTCCAAACCCTCAAGGATGCCACTGCCCCCAAAAGAGCCCGCCACTGCAGCTGTGCTTCGCTTAGATCCGCTCCACACCTCATGAAATTTGACGCTTTGATCACTGGAAGCTACGATGATGCAGCCTTCGTGCATCGTGCGCGAACACCATAGGCCTCCCTCCTTAGCGCGCGGCCGTACAAAGGCGCGACTCATACGGCGTCGACTCGGCTGATATCGGCTTTGCCCGGCTAACCGGTCTTGATTTGCTGTGCTCGACACGCCCTCATCTTCAACCTCGCCCGAAGCTTCATGCTCAAAAGTATGGGGTCTTCCAGGGTAACTGACAGCGCAGAGTGCCCGCCCGCAATCGACCACGAGGTCATTATCTGCGCTTTCCCAGCTGCTTCCGTGCGGCCCCCAAGGAATTGCAGCGATCTGCTCACAAGTCGGCCAAGCGAATACCGCAATTCGGTAGGGGTGCTCTGGTTGGGCGAACCCGAACGTAGCCACGATCTCCCGCCTGGTCTTGCTCCAAATCAAGCCCGTCACTTGTGCATATACATGAATTGTGGCCAGACATGCACCCGTCGGGGCGTGGTAGAAGTGGATAGTTCGGTCGTTTGATCCTCCACCGGTGGCCAGGAGGGATGGTTGCCAAGGAGCAAATGCAATCGCTTTCACCGCCGCCCCATGGATTAGTCGATGTTTTTGACGGTTGGCTGGAACCATGATTGTTTTTTCACCACCGGAGATCAAAGACCCCGTATGGTTCAGCAGCGATGTGGTAAAAGGTCTAACGTATGACAAAGCCCAGGGTGGAAGCAGGTTGCTGATGAGACTGCGTCTTCGGTGGTGGAGCCTGCCGGCCTCTGTTGTAAGATTAGAGAGCGAACCTGTGCCTTCTGTGCCTCCGGACTGGCCTGACTGGCGCGCGGATTGGTGTGAGGAACGATATGACGAATCAGTCTGAACCGAAAGATTGAGTTCACGCGGAGGAAGGATAGTCTGGAGCTCAAATAGCAGACAAAAGTTGTCATTACCCCCTGTTGCAAGAAAAGAGCCATCCGGTGACCAACTGATTCCACAGATCTGCTGTGTGTGAGCAGCTATTTTGGCGAGCAAGGTCATGGCTCCGTTCCAGTCATATCGGTCCCATATCTCATCATCAGGCCACTCCACTGAGTAGTACCATATGTTCCCTAGATCATCTCCTACAGCCAGATCCTCGACATCAACTTCCATATTGCGGAATCGTTCTGATGCTCTGCGGGACTTGGTTTGCTTGAATGCCACACATGTAATGCTCTCAGGATGGCTAATCTCAAATCGGACCTCAGCGTCGAAGACACTCCACAAAAATAACATCCCCGACTGTCTTGCAACAGCCAGTATACTTTTGCCGCCATTGTCAGAGGAGAATGCTAAACATGTCACGTAGTTGGAGGGATGCTGATCGCTGAGGGGAGGATGCTGTACCCCAAGGTCTTCGGACCACAAATACACGCGGTGACCCAAACCGACAGCAAGAATACCGGATGTGGGTGAATATGCCAATGTTGAGCAATAAAAGTCATCGCGAAGGAGGGGCGCATCTAGAATGCGAAATGGACGATTGGGGACGACTCGTTTACTCGGCTTGGATACAGGCATCCCTGACAGTGGGCTCAATGATCAGTCATACGTCTCGGGACTCTGAGAGGCTCAAAATAGATATCAAAAGGACGACAAAAGATAATTAGCAGTCTACCAGGAGCTTCGTTGCTAGAACAATGCGAAACCACACAAGCACTCGGTTGACCTTGTGAGCAGAACTGTGACTTACACAGATCTCTCCCATTCCGTTTCCAGGCATTATCCTTCCACACAAAGGGAGAGAATCTTTCGTAGTCCGAAGGAGCTGGATTCGGCAAACCGCGGAGCAGTGACCAGGGCTTACTGCTTTGTATAAGTCTCGTTGCCGGATCAAAGTCCAAAGCAAGTGCCACCCTGGATTTATGTTTCTCGCGTTCCTCGTTCGCCGCAGTCTGGGGTAAGAATTTAGCAGTAAACATGGGAGCAGTAGTGCCACTGGCGAAATGAGAGCCCGAGCAACGAGCGACTGTCGTAGATGCTCGACCCAAGGCGGCAGAGTTTCCTCCGACATTCCAGACAGCTCCATAGCTGATTTGTCTCGAGATGTCTCTGGAGTCGCGGAACGACGGATCACTTCCAGTATAGGCAGGCTCGATGACAAGGTGAGGACGATAGTGAGTGCTGCAAATGCGATTTGACGCTACCTTGGAACCGCTGAAATATCTTGGAAGGTGTGACGGCATGAACGGATCATCTCTAGGCGGTCGTCGTCGCAGTAGCTTCTCCTCTGGCGATAATTCTCGCGGTTTCTTGACTATATGAATTGGTGTTGTGGGCGCGCAGTTGGACTCTCGCAAGGGAATATATCGATCAGGCAGCCCACATCTCATACTGCAGTCAGATGGCTTGTAGTGCACGGGAAGTCTTATTTTGGATCGAGTTTTCCTAGTCGGCCCTGTTGTTAAGGTAGACAACGCGTGGTCTGAAGCCCTCAAAGCATTCGCATGAGGGGCGGACGAACGCCTGTTTCCCGGTTTGAGAGGAGAGAACTCCAAGCTCTTGGCATCTTGCAGTTTCTTTGACCCAGGTAGAGGAGTATGTATATTGAGTTTGGAATGAGTGACGGGCTCCAACAGTGATGGGGCACTCGCACACAGGTGAAATGATGGTACTCGCCCACCTCCATTGGCCGATGGATTGGGTAGAGAAGGATCGGAATGAGAATGAGAGGCTGTCAGCATTGAGCTTCGCGATGAGCGAGTGCTTAAGGTCATTGTTCTCTCTGCCTCGGTTTGAGACAACAAGCAGTTGAGGGTGCGCGGATGGTATTCCCCAGATATATAAAGAACGCTGTTAGTTACTGTGTCTTTGGTAAAGTTCGTGAGGCCAAGAAATGAGCCGGGGCTCTCTTATTGATATACTGCCATGCTGCCAAAGAACAGCATGGCGGAGTGATAGTTGGCAATAGTCAGAGAGAAGAGACTAACCATGATATCTCCGCTGAATGCAAAGTAGACTGGCTGTATAGAGTAGAACACGTGACTCATCTAGATAAGGAAAGTGGCTGCGGCTCGCCTGGAAAGGCAACCAGGGACTCGGTAAGTGGACTGGGAATAGTCGCCGCTTCACATACTGAGTGCTCACTCGCTCCGAGGTCATCTCTTATCGATAACCTTAGTGACCGCCATCCTATTTGCAATCCAGCTGGACAAGGAAGCACTTGTTGACAAAAAACACCCCCAAAAAGTCTTCCTTAATCTATAATGACTGAAGTGACGTACCTATTCTTGCTGGCTCATTCGCGCACACCAAACTGACCCTGTATGCAACTACAGCATGGGATTCCTCGATACGCCCGTAGAGGGGAGCGGACTGAAGAAGCTCGCCAACAAGAGCTTCGCAAGATCGAGAAGTATCGAGAACTCGAACAGTCAGTCCGAGAAAAGGTGCGTCGATGCAATCGTACATCTCCATGTAGCGTGATCTAACGGTGGTGATCAGGTTGCGGCACAGCAGTACACACCAGAGACTCTACAGAAAATATCCGAACTGCTAAGCAGCAACCCTGAGTACTACACGATATGGAACTATCGTCGTCAAGTCCTGCGAAGCGAATTCTCGCGTGCAGAATCTAGCGGCTCCAACGAAACAGGAGCTGAACAGATCGCTTCCTTGATCAAGAGCGACCTGCTATTCCTTATTCCCTTGCTCAAGAGTTTTCCCAAGTGCTACTGGATTTGGAATTACCGCGTCTGGCTTTTGGACGAAGCCAAGCGTCTTCTTCCTGCTTCAATCTCCCGTCGATTCTGGCAAGAGGAATTGGGCCTGGTAGGCAAGATGCTCAACCTTGACAGTAGGAACTTCCACGGCTGGGGTTACAGACGATTTGTCATAGAGACTCTTCGGGAGCTCAAGTCCGCTGAGCAGCCCAGCGAAGACATGACCCAGGCTGAGTTTGACTACGCAAAGAAGATGATCGGCGCCAACCTGTCGAATTTCTCTGCTTGGCACTATCGTACCAAATTGATCCAGCGACTGCTAAACGAGCGATCAGCCAGCGATGAGGAGCGGAGAAAGATGCTCGATGACGGTATGTTACATTTCCCGCCGTGTGGCGCAGACACAAGCGTCTTACTGCGTGGGCATGCTAACATGTCATTTCGGAAGAGTTGGAATTGGTCCATCGTGCCTTGTGCGACCCATATGACCAGTCATTGTGGTTCTACCACCAGAACTTAATGTGCGTCTTTGATCCGATGGTAGCGGCGCAGACAATGGCACCGAATCTCAGTGACTCGGAACGCTTGGAATATCTCCGACAAGAGATTGAAGAAATCGAAGACATGCTAGATGGGGCGGAAGACTGTAAATATCTCTACCAAGCCTTGATCGACTGTACGTTGTTGGCGTGGAAGGTGGAGGGAATCACTCCCGCTGATACGCAGAAACGGGCGGTGTTAAAGTGGCTTGCGGAGTTGAAGAAGCTGGACCCGCTGCGACAGCAACGGTGGCTGGATTTTGAACAGTCACTTGCCTGCTGAGCCGATCATGATCATCCCTTGTCAACCGATCTGGAGTCTGATAGATAGAACGCCATCTTCGGGATATTCTTTATGAGACTTGATTTTCTATGTCATTTTTTATTTTTTATTTTTTATTTTTTTTTTCCATTCCCTGGTCCCTTTCTCAATCAATCCTTGCTTAGCTATTATGCTTCTGTGTCCCACATATCGTCATAGACACCGATGTAACCAACTAAAGATAGCGGAATACATATATATACGTAGCTCTTAGTCGGTGGAGACGGCAGCTGTTGAGGGAGTGGGTGTGAATAATAATGGATTGTTGGTGAGTTTCAGAATAATAGATGTGGCTCTGGGAAGGAATGTTTCCCTTTGATATCGATCGATAGCCAAAAGAATCAACCCACGAGTCAGTCCCCATGGGAAAAAAAAGAAAGAGAGAAAGAGAGTAAGATAAAAATACAAAAAATGCTGCCTGCAGACTTGGAGGTTCAATAAAACGGTGTTCACCTTGTCTTTGTTGATTAGAACTTCTCCTGTCTCTTATTTTTAGTTTGGCAATCAGCTGGTCTTCCAAGTGGTCAAAAGTCTTCTTCTCCTGACTAGTAATTGATTAGTGCGGAGTACACCAACGGTACCAGACCTACACAGCTAGTTTTAAGGGGGGAACTGTACTCCGTACTGTACATGCAAGAGTCAGTCAGCCAGCCAGTCATCCATTCATACCACAATCACAATCACAATACACAATAATAGAGAGACTACGAATTACGCGGAGTCGAGACTGCCTAGTCGGGAATTGTCCGCCTCCTCTTCTAGTTTGCTGCTCTTCTCACTCTCACTTTGCCTCTCACCTTCTTCCTTCCATTCTACTTGGCTATTGTGTATTCTTGCAACCTGTCTTCAACTACACCTAAAAAAAAGGGAGTCAACCTCCTGGATTTAACTTGCTGGGAACCGATCTTCCTAGTTCCGTGGCACGGTCCTAGAATTCCACCCGCTGGCTTCTGGGTCCATCCATTCCATTCATCCCCATCTCCCGTTCGTCTATCCAACCTCTCGCTGTGCACTTTCCCCCCCTTCCTCCTTCCCTCGAGTCTCCAGTCTCAACTCCTCACCTCTCTCCACCACCAGAATTAATTTCTTTCTTCTTCTAACAGCGGTCGGTGGCTACCGTCCCATCTCCGCCTGCCTCCACCTCCTCCCTATCATGGAAATTTCGCAGTCCTGACCTCCTCAATCGCTCCCCCCCCACGTATCGCGCGTGTATTCAGCCTCGTTGTATCAATTGGAAATTCAAATCTGGAAACCAACTGGTCTTACATAGTTTCGGCCCCCCCCAGGTGGTCGGGTCTAAAATATGTCGTCTTCCAGACGCAATAGCGAAACTTACGAAGGAGTGAGCCTCTGACCTCTCGACCCGAATATATTCGATATCCTTGAGGGCCCCATAATGACAACTTATTTGTACCAGGAATCTTTCGATGATGCACCTGAATCTCCGACTTCACACGCTGATCTTAGCGTCTCTATCCCGAAGAGTTCCTCCTCCCGATCGTTGACAGACAGTCCTCCGAGTGGATCGATTGTAACACCTCAATTGACGGAAGCACCCCCACTACCTATAAGCTCCCAAAGCTCCCAAGAGGACTCGGAAAACGTCGAAGAGAGCGATGCCGCCAGTGTAGACAGAAAATCTGAAGCAGAGGATACCCCCCGCAAGACCAAGAAGTCACCATTGCTGACCGCGCATCGGTTGTCGACTACTTCCCTTGACGAGGTGAACCTTACCAGCAATAAGGAGGAAGAAGAGTCGCTTGAGAACCAACGCTTGAGCCAGGAGCTCAAATCTGGCACACCTCCACCAATTGTATCTAGAGACTCGATTTCCTCGCAGAGCTCGCGCCTTCAGGGATCGACCAATGCTTTGTCCAATGGTGCTTCCACGAACAAAGCGGCCGCTCCTGCACCACCCCCACCACCAACCCGTTCGTTCACCAGCCCCTTCGCATGGCTTTCTCGAAGCTCGTCATCCAACAAGGAGGCCAAATCGCCTCCACCACAGCCCCGCCGCAACACGGCTGCGTCGATTTCCACGCTCTCCAGCAATCCTGACGGTCGACACCACGATGGAGAAGATGCGGACGGCGCCGGCTCAAGGAGGCCTCGACGAAGCAGCCTGAAGGATCAATTCAAACAGCTCAGATTGCGTGACGAAGGTCTTGTATCGGAGAACGACGAAGCGAGTGTCACGTCAGGACGGGCCAGTATTAGTCACTCCGCAGGGAGCCCTCCGAGTATCCCGGAAGAAGGCGACAGCTACACGAGCATTACTCCATCCGCAGCTTCACCCTCCAATGGTACGTCGACCGTGAATCCAAATCTGCCGCCGGGTACAGTCGCAGGCTTTTCAGCCTCAGCGACAGATGCGTCTGCACCGGTAGACTGGGAGCTCTGGCAGCAATTAGTCAATCGTGGTCCACAAGCGCTGAAAGGGGCGAATTCGGAGGAGCTTAATGCCGCCATCAAACGAGGAATTCCGCAAACTATTCGAGGGGTGATCTGGCAAGTCCTGGCTGACAGCCGCAACCCCGAGCTGGAAGAGGTGTACCGAGAACTTGTTGCCCGTGGTACAGACAAGGAGAAGCAGCGACCTGGCAACGGCTCGGCCAGTGGACTAGGCGAAAAAGACTCTGCAAGGTCGTCATCTCGTTCTTCGGTTCGCTCAGAGCGGTCCGCCTCTCTGGCACAATCAGTCAATGGCTCCTCGAGCCCTTTGCATGAACTCGATTCCGAACGGCTGGCCAAGGAACAAGCAAAGAAAGCGAAGGAGGATGCATTGGCGTTGCAAAAGTTGGAGAAGACAATCCGACGCGATTTGGGCGCTCGCACGAGTTATTCGCGCTATTTTGTTTCGCAAGGGAACCAGGAGGCTTTGTTTGGGCTGTGCAAGGCGTATGCCCTGTACGATGAGGGGGTGGGATACGCCCAGGGAATGAATTTCATTGTCATGCCCTTGCTCTTCAACGTATGTCACCAAATTACTTAAAAGACCAATGAGTTACACTGACGGTCTTGCAGATGGACGAGGCGGAGGCATTCACACTTCTGGTCAAGCTCATGAATCAGTATGGTTTGCGGAAGATGTTTATCCAGGAGATGCCTGGTCTTCACCGCTGCTTGTATCTCTTTGAGCGTCTGCTGGAGGACTTCGAGCCGGCCCTCTACTGTCACCTCCGGCGACGCGGTGTACCTCCCCAGCTGTACGCAACACAGTGGTTTCTCACTCTGTTTGCTTATAGGTTCCCTCTACAATTAGTCCTTCGTGTTTACGATCTCATATTCGATGAAGGCCTTGAGAACGCTATTCTCAAGTTCGCTCTCGCCATCATGCGCCGAAATGCAGACGCGCTTTTGGAGATGAAGGACATGGCACCTCTGACCACGTTCCTGAAAGAGCGTTTGTTCGACGTTTACATCGACAGGCAACCGACTCCCTCCTCGATCCTGGAGTCCGGCTTCTTTGGAAGCTCGGGCGCTGCCGACAAGGAAGTCTATCGCGCGGATATCATGGTGCAGGACGCTTGCGCTATACCTTTAGAACCAGAGACGGTCAGTACGTACACGGCTGAGTGGGAGGACAAGGTGCGGACGGAAAAGGAGCGCGAGGTCGAGCTCGAGAACTTGAAGCACACTGTGGCCGTGCAAAGTGCCCGGATCCGCCAGTTGGAGGAGCAGAACGAGGCTTCTGACAAGGAGCATGTTCAGCTCGCGTCAGAACTGGTTCACATCAAGGTCGAAAACGAAGAGCTGACAGACATCAATGATGCATTGAAGATGCAAGTCAAAGAGCTCAAGATTGTAGTGGACAAGCAACCAGCAGAGGTTGAGGAGAAGCTGCGCACAGAGATGGACCGCATCATGCAACGCAACCTTGAGGTTCAAAATGAGAACCGGTCAATGGTCGAGCAGATGGCCGAGATGGAGAAGGAGCTGGTACAGGCCAAGATGAAATGGGCCGAGGTGAGTCTGTCTCTGGTCATTCGGTTCCCACAGTACAACGCTGACTTAACGAATTCAAAGATTCATGAAAACCACGAGAATCTCAAACAGAAATGGAGTGACCTACGCAAGGCTCTCGACTAAGTTGCGGGTTGTATATTCTGGGCTAGAATTCAGTGATGGAGGAGTAGTTGCTGGCTTCGCTGCTTTTTTCCCCTTGCTTTCCTCGTTCGGTCTCCTTGACGGTTTCTGAACCATATTGTACATTTTAAACGGCTGACAAGGAGGGCAAAACTCTTGGGTACCCTGTACTTTTAATCCCAGGGCATGATGGGCGAGGACCATGTTAGTTGTCTCATGTTTATGTTTTCATCTTCACTTCTGCTCGACTCGGCAGCGAAACCAGGGCATTCAGCTATGCTCCAGCATGCATGCATGGAACTGATTCATGAATTGGATATTAAATCATACAACACGAGTGTCTGAGTAGAGTATATTCAGATAAACATCCCTTTCCTGTTGAGAAGAAAGACCTCACACAAATCACCTGTCCCTTTGATCTCCTTCACATTCATAGAACACTCTCGAAGTACGTCGTCAAGACATCCTCCCGCACGGGTCCCACCACCGCCTTCAGCGCCTTGTGCGCCTCACACTCGGTATCATAGTACTTCATATCCTCCAGCGAGGCAAACGTCGTCTTGACGCTCAGATTGTAGCCCTTGTTGCGCGGGTCGGGGAACGACGGGCCCGCGGCCGCGCTGACGATGTATGGCTTTCCGTCCTAGATCGCCGGTTTCAGGGTCAGTATCTTGTTGTGTTTCGTAAAACTCCACCCGGCAAGTAGAACAAGTGTTTCGGAAATAGCTATGTACCTTGACGGCCGTCTTCGCAAGCACCTTGTACTGCTCGAGCACGCGGTCCCGGGCCGTCTCGTCGGGGATCTTGAATAGAGTGATGCGTTCGACGGCGGGGGCCATTTTGGGGAGGGTGCGGAGCATTCAAATCACCAAGAAGGTTCTTGTTGGGATGCCGGTGGAGGTATTGCTTTGAGGGTTTGTTTCGTGTAAGGAACTAGGTTAGGAAACAGAGGTGAGGTATATGTACAGTAGATTGGCGAAAGGTGGGGGGGGTGGGAGAGGGCAGGGGCTTTATGTATTGTAGTTATCCCGTCGGGGCAGAGTATAGGCGGTTGCGGGGTAGTTAGTCCAGGGAAATGGGGAATAGTACCGTATAGTGCAGTATTCTGGTGGGGGCTTTTGTTGGTGGTTACTAGTTAGCCTAGGTAAGATGGAACTCGGGTCTTGGTTAGTTACTTCTTGGTGGGATTATAGTCCTGCAATGGTGAATTGCGTTGATTGTTGATGCTCACACTACAGTAGCTTGAGCTGGAAGGAAGGGGGGAACTTTCCGACGGATGTCGGCTGGCGTCGGGTACGGTCGGGTCTGGGTTATGATCCTGGGGTTTTTATTGTATGTACTGTACATCGGGGCTAATGTGAGATGGTGATTTACTGGACGAGATACTTGGGAATGGCTATGCAGAGGTTGCTGTATGATTTGGTATTCATGTGGTGCTTCTATTGTTCTTGCCTGTTGTTGTGTGGACCCAGTGACTGCTGCTATACTCGGGGCCATCGATGACGACGACTCGACCGCGGAATTCTTTCCTCGCGCTCCCTTTCCGCCGCGCCCACCCCGGCTATTTTCCTTGCCGACGTTGCGGAATATTACCTACCTACAGGACCGTCCTGTCTTGCTTCCCTCTCGATCATCCTCTATGATGGTCTAACGAGATCCCTTGTGCAGACTGCAACGCGACATGTCGTATGCCAATCACAAATTCCCCCGTAGAGCCTGCTCTCGTTCGAAGGCCTCGAACAGACCCTGGAAGTTCCCGGCGCCGAATCCATCGAAGTTGTTGCGCTGGATCACTTCCAGGAAAACCGTCGGTCGGTCGAGCACGTGCTTGGTGAATATCTGGAGCAGGTAGCCCTTCTCGTCGAAATCCACCAGGATGTGCAGGTCCCGCAATCGGTCGATATCCTCTGCGATCCGCGGACCACTATCGGACAGCCGCCGCCGCAGGTCGACATAATACTCGTCCGGGACGCGCAGGAAGGACATGCCGCGCTGCCGGAGTCGGCTGCCGGCCGTGACGATATCGTGCGTTCGGAACGCGATATGCTGCACCCCAGCAGCGTTGTAGAAGTCGACAAATCTGTTGCGTGAAGTATGGTAAGTTTCTGGTTGCGGTCTGCAGTGGATGGGCTAGGGACGGTACGCACTCCTCGATCTGGGACTTCTTCTTCCCCGGGGCTGGCTTGTTCATGGGCATCTTGATCACTTCATTGGGTGACGCGACGACGATGGAGCGCATGGCCGAGTACTCTCCACACATGCTCGAGTCGTCCACGGTCCAGTACCGGTGGAATTCGAAACAGTCTTCATAGCTGCAGTATTGGCGTTCAGCATGCAATCCTTCAGCAGCATGTACCGGGTAGACTTACTACTTCACTATGGAGTCGACACCGTTCGAAGGCTGATTGCCGACGCAATGGTCGATTTCGATAAAGTCGATCTGTGGAAGGAGTCGATTGATGGAATCCTCCTCTACCACTGCTTTGTAGCCGGGGAGGAATGGCCCTGAGTAGTCTTGCCGGCTGATTAGCGTATGTGTCGTGTCTCCATACGCCCCTACAGTAGCCACGCTGATGCTGCCATTGCTTCCGTCTACTAGATTCTGAGGCGGCGCAGCAGAGGTTGCACCATTGTCGACCGCTCTCTTCCAGACACTCTCCACATCACCATTAATCCTGAACGCGACATCTTTGACTCCGTCTCCGTGTTTGGTCAAATGAGCGTGGATCTCAGCTAGAGAGGGCTTCTCATCGCGCTCGGACACAGCTCCCTCTGTCTCCAACGGAGTACGAACGGGCGAGGTAAGGACAAAGGTGGCGCCGTGATTCGAAACCACATAGGACACGATATTGCGAGACCCCGTCTCGGGGCCCCGGTAGGCAACATGCTCGAAGCCCAAGCGAGTGGCGTAGTAGCTTGCAGCCTGCTTCGCGTTGCCAACGTACCATGTGATATGATCGAAGCCCACGTATTCCGGACCCAGTTTCGAAGGAGAGATGTCCTCCTCGGCCTGCGACAAAATAGCCATGGCAAGGACACAACGCGTAGAAACCGATTAGAGTGGAGATAGACTTTGCCCGTGCACCGGTAGACAGCACGTCTCATAGTCCAGACCTCCTCTTCTCGCCCACTTTTAATCATGTCTTATATCTCTGCCCGCGTGTTTTGAGTTATGTCGTGAAAGCCAGATCCGCTCCGATATCGCCATGATAGGAGACTGTATTGCCGTCGTTGTTTGACACCCGCTGCAAGGTTTTTTTTTTCACCATCTCCCCGCGAGTTTGGACAACGACAAGCAACAAGGTTCAGCCTCTGACATCTGCATGACATGCCACCGCCAAGGCGGGTTTCAACCGAACCAGGACAAATCCCCCAGATTGCTCTGCAGCAGCTACCTTGCTGTAGCTTGGAGCAAGCATGTGCTGTCCCAAGATCACGCGCTCTTAGAGGTCATTGACCGGCTCCGGTCGGTTCTTGAAGTAAATCTTGTATCGCACCACCTCGACCACCTCCAACTCGTCACTATCGCCCCCCCGCGCGGAACCCGCCGCCGGCGCCGGCCTCCGCTGCACGAGAGCCAGCGGCTTCGGCAGCTTCTTCACCTCGCCTGTTATGCGTTGGTAGCGTCCGACGTACAGGTAGACCCGCTTCATCCAGGCCGCGTCGTCCGCGGGATTCTGCGGCGAGTAGTCCGGGAACATGAGCTTGCCGATCGGGGTCTCGAACACGGACGCCCCGTCGGGAGATTCGGCGGAGTGGGAGGGATCATCGTGGGATGGGATGTTGATCGTGCCTTGAAGTTCCAGGAGCGCCAGGCCGGAGGGCGTTTGGAGGAGCTGGGGGAGAGGGTTGGAGACGCGTGAGGGAGATCGCGACGCGCGCGGATGGAGGGTGATGGATGGCATTGTGAGATAGTGCGGTAGTCGAGAATCAAGATTCGGAGGCGGAGATATGCTCTGGTAGCACGACTGATTAGGTTTCTGCACGGCAATGAGCAGTATGTCTGCTGGTTCTGGTGGGTTGGAAGTCAGTGTCGAGTTCTCTGAAGCCGAGGTGGGTAATTAGCGCGTCGGGCGTGCATTTGTCGCGCGCGGTATCTTATCGGCGGTCTTTTTTTGACTACAGTACATTTGGTCATCACATGAATCAAGTATCATGTTTGCGCAGCGTCGACTGCGGTGATTTATAAATCCTTGGATATCAATGCTACGAATGAAATTATGTGTGGATACAGAAATGGGCTCGATGAGATAGGAGCAATCATAAGAGCGACATAATATTTCATTCTATTTATGACTCCTGGCGAAAATGTGCCCACACTATGTCAGAATCCATAAGCTGCTCAGTCGTGCCCCTACTTAGGCTGAGTGCTCTTGGTACAAAGCGACCTGAAGTGGTATGGCTGGTGCTGTCCATGATGGATCGACCTGGCCCACCTGGCCGGGTTTGTGAGCCGAAAATAGCGAGGTTTTCCTGAATGGCTATGCAGAAAGAGTGCGATTCGAGTAGCCTCTCCTTCGCGCAATTTCAACAGTAATGTGTCTTCAAGACACAGTATTCCTGCATAATAACGCAATGCGCTAGCGGATCCTGATTCAGAGGTTGACTAGCGCCATGGCTGATCATAGACGGCGCGCGGTTATGTTGGCGGATCATTAAGTCAACCGGCTATGTAGTGATCTGAAGTAAGAATGGAAACTGACAGATACACTGAAGACGGAGATTATGCCATTGAGATCATTCAGCTGTTGCGGTAGCAGGCATTCTCAAGGTTCTGAAGACCCCGTATGGCCTCGTTGACGCCCTCCTCGCCTGTCATGCCTACAGGGCCTTGCATCTTGCCGTACCGCAGATCACTCAAGTCACCCACCAGGCCATTGAGATCGGACAGGAGTGAGCTTGCTTCCTTGTCGACTTCGGTCACCTCGTGTTCCACATTGGAGCATGCCGTCTGCATGGCCGCGAGGAGACTCGATACTGAGTGATAATTAGACGTAGAAGTCGTCTGCCCAAACAGCTCAACATCCATGTCCATCTCGCGCTGCTCAGCTGAGCTGATGCCATCAATGCCTGTCTTCATCAGGGATTTACGGAGCTCTGCCTTCTGGCGTTCGCCCTGAACTGCTTCCTTGTCAATGTTCTCATTGACTAGGTCCATGTCTTGCTCGCGAATCTCTTGTAGCTCACGATAGAGAACCCTGATGTGCGGATGAGAGCGTAGTCTCTTTGGAAAGAACTCAGTGAATTGCTGCAACGAGATGATCGTTGGCAAGGGAGCTGGGGTCAAGAGGAAATTGCTCAGAATGGCTGTCTCTGAAGGTGCCATAATGGATCGTGTTGCCGTAAGGAGCGCGGCTATGTCACATAAAACGAGCTAGAATTACTCAGCGCTTGCTTGCCGGCAAAAATGACAGTTTCTCTCTCAGTGATGGACGAAATTTGGTGGCTGTGGTGTTACGCTTAATCGGGACAAATCGCGTTCCAAGCCAATCAGAAATTGGAAAAGGTGATATAGGTGAGCGATGAAGGGGAAGAGAAGCAATTCAAGAATAACATATAGAAGTGTAAATGTTACTTTATTGTGTGCTGTGGCCTTTGAGGGGTTGTAAGGTTGCACGTAGGGTCATTTGTTATATCCAAGAGTAAGCGAAGGAGTGGTGGAGAGGGAAGAAGAGGAAGGGCGAATGTTCCAATTTAGGCCACCAGGCCGTGACTTGCCCTTTCGGACGCGTTTCTTCCAACAGACGGTGATCCCGCGGGCTTCCTCTTTCTTGCCCCAACCGCGACATGCGATAACATAACTAACACTCACCACCTCAATCCCTGCAGCTCATCTTCTCCCCAAATCTTAAGACACTTCATTTACGCCCGTGATAAATTGACTTGTGGCTGCTACTATCGCATGTGAGATATCTGACCAACCCCCATCAAAATTTCATGACATTGACCTTGACCCTAGCCAACCTCCAAACATCTCTCTCTCTCTCTCTCTCTCTCTCTGAGAAGATCAAGACAGCTCCTCAGCGGCTGAACTCGTCTCAGCTGGGAGACTTGTAACTTTGACCTGATTTATCTCCTTTTGCCAAGGGGCTTTGTCCGCTTGAAGAGTTCGTCAACTTGCTGCACGTGCTGTTCAGGAGCAAGAGCACTGATCGGGGCTAAAGCAAGCAGTAGCCCTGATACAGGAAAGATTTGCCTCTCCTAGATTCTTCTCACAGTTTGAGACAGCCCAGGTATCAGTGTTCTGTGTCGTTGTCGGCAGCATCATCCTTGTGACCAAAGAATACCCCTCATCTCGAAACATCACTCATCCATCTCATCATGGCACCTGCAAGCCATATGAACTACCAGAAGGACGAGAGAGTCCTTTGTTTCCACCATGAGATTCTCTATGAAGCAAAAATCCTGGACCTGAGGCACATTGATCCTGACGACCGCAAGAGTCCGTACGAGTACCTTGTCCACTACAAGGGGTGGAAGAACACGTACGTCTTATCCTCGCCTTATCACCCCCGTAATCACTTCTCCTTATTGAAGATCTTCTCAATTTTACCTTCTCGACCTCGAAATGTTTCCCATGTTCTCGTGTCGCCCGATGCTTTTTACCCCCTTCTCTGCAGGAGGAGGTGTTGATTTCCATCTGTGATTCTCGATGTGGCTGCTGTTACCCTGGGCCGGTGGGGCGGGATCATCAGAGCCTGGCTGACTGATATGCTGCTTTACTGCAATTAGGTGGGATGATTGGGTCCCGCAAGATCGACTTCGTAAATTTACAGATGAGAATCGAGAGTTGGCCACGACTCTCCGTCGTGAGGCTGAGGCTGCGTTCCGCCAGAAGAATGTGAAGCCCTCTGTGAAGAAACGGGGAGGCTCCGATCGCAGTTCCGCCCGGGACAGCGAGGAGAGGCAAACTTCTGTTCCGGGCCGCGGGACGAAGAGAGCACGAGAAAATGATATTGAAAAGGTATGTCTGCTTCTAGCTCTGTATTCAAACATAGGCTTTGCCGGTCTTGCACATTACTGCAGTGTCTAGTGACAATGTGCTGAAAGGATCAGCATATCTATCGTTGGTTTACTGACAGCCTCAATACAGGAGGAGAGCTTCTATGTCCGGCCATCAGTGCGGATTGCCATGCCCGACAATTTGAAATCCCTTCTGGTCGATGATTGGGAGAATATCACTAAGAACCAGCAAGTGGTGGCACTGCCGGCCAAATGTTCAGTTAGCCAGATCTTGGATGACTATGTCAAGGAGGAAAAGCCTAAGAGGACGAGCACCGCTGACCTGGATGTTCTTGATGAGATCATCATGGGTATCCGCGAATACTTCTACAAAGCACTGGACAAGATCCTTCTCTATCGCTTTGAAAGGGAACAGTATCGTGTGATTCGCAAGAGGTGGGAGGATGGCAATGGGGACTGGGCCGATAAAGGTCCTCTTGAGACCTACGGTGCTGAGCATCTGACGCGGCTTTTCGGTAGGGCTCGCTTCCTCACAACTTGCTGCGAATGCTAACCTATAATCCTCATAGCGACCATGCCTGAGCTCATCGCCCAGACGAACATGGATGCTCAATCCACGAACAGGCTTCGGGAAGAGCTCTCCAAGTTCACAATCTGGCTGAGCCGCAACTCCGCCAAGTACTTTGCAACTAGGTACACGAATGCCAGCAACGAGTATATCGAGAAGTCGCGCGGGGCTCCAAATCCAGCTCCGGCCACCGCTACCTCGCGTCTTGTGTGATGAACCGAGTATGGGAGTTCTATCGATCTGAGGCGGTCAATCTCGTGTGCTTTCCTGATCTTACAAGTGTTTTTGGGGCCAATTTTTGTGTTGTGGGCCATGGAGCACAGTCCTGTGGCGCTCTGATACATGCTATGATAATGCTATCACTGTAACATTAATAGGATAAAACCGGCGCAAGTTCTGGCGTCCAAATTGAGTAACAATTTTGTTTCCTTACGGGATAGGCTTGTCAACGGACATGGTATTGAATTTTGACACTAAACGCATCACCCTTAACCAAATAAGTACACCATACATACACAGCTTCCGCAGGTCGGACGGACATTCTGACGCAGACTTCACCCTCCAGTGCTACGTGAAACTGAGCTCTCCTCCACCTCCTCTCTACTCACAACCAAATACGCGATCAAATCTTCAAGACACCTACATACACACAACCCGACACACGAATCTCCTACGCGACTAATTGCCTAGCATCGTCCACGGCGCATCGCGCCGCCCGCTTCAACTCCACCTTCCAATCCGCCTCACGGAACTTTTGCCACGCACTGAGACCCTCCAGCGGCGGGATACTCAGCGTCTCGTACCCTTGCTTGATGATCCGATGCACCTCCCGCGGACTAAGATTCTTCTTCAGATTTGGCGACACGGGCGCCGGGCTCTCGCCGTCCGCCGCACCACTACCACCAACAGCCTCGCCGCCCTTATCCGGGACAAACAGAAGAGTGTGGAAGTGCGTGGAGACGGAGATCAAGGTCTCGATTGCGGTGAGGTGGACCTCTGCGCTGGATGATATGCTCGGATCTGTCTTGGGGATGTGGCCCACCGCCACCGCTGAGTGAGGACCGCTAGCCGCGCCGCCGCCGCTGGATTTGAAGGCGTACACGTCGCGGAATCGGGCGATGATTGGGCCGGTTTCGACGAGCTTGTAGAAGAGGTCGTCGTAGCTGGACGGGTCCGGGAGGAAGGTGTCGCCCGCGGAGACGCAGAAGGCGATCAGGTTGACCAGGGTGGTGGTGAGGGTGTGGATGTGCGGGGTGCTGGTGATGAGGTCGGAGACGTAGGTGGTCAGGAAGCGCATCAGGGAGAGTAAGGTGCGCCAGAGTTCGGACCAGTGATAGGTGAGGCGGATCTTGTTCTTGGAGAGGTAGGTGAGGAGGCGGAGGAAGATGGCGATGCAGTGGCTGGGTTTGGTGTTAGAAGTTTGAGGGGGGATTTACGAGATTGAAGAGACAGGGAGGAGGTTGATGGCGTACCTGTAGAGATTTACATCGAGGCGACGTCGAAGGTTGTGGGTAAGGGTATCAATGAGGATGTCGAAGATGGCTGTGGTGGGGACTCGCTCGCTGGTGATGAGAGGCAGGTATGGTTGCTTTTGGCGACACAGTCGGATTTTGCGCTTGCTTTCGTCGCTGCAAAGTTGTTTGCAGAGCGCGTTGTCTTCGGATATTATGCGGAGGGTCAGGAGGTTGAGCTCTGCGTAGTGAGCGGTCCGCGGTGATCGGTAGGCATGTTGGAGAAGGTAGGATGTTAATGAGAGGAATGATGCGAAGGGGGACTCCTCGTTGTCCTTCTCGGGGGCCAAGCTGATGAGGTGAAGCCCGAACAGTTTATTGGCATTGATGAAGTCGTAGGTAGCTAGGAGGATCGATGCTTGTTGCGCGGGCCTGCTTTCGTTAGCTGGTCCTTAGGACAAGAATGACGCTTGTTGAAGGTCGTACAGTGATGCAAATAACTCCTTCGCTTCCTCGGCAGTAGGTGGATTCGGCCGATCCTTCTTACCGGAAGCAAGAGCGCCCAAACCAAAGTACATCAATGTGCTGATCAATGTCCAGCCCTCGGGAGAGTCGTCCTGCACGGCAGCGTAACCGTTTCTGAGAGCTCCACAGGAACTACCGACTCCTCTGGCGATTTTCTGAATGCTCGCTTCATTCACAAAGTCGTCAAGCCGTAGCTGATACGGATTCTGCATCTCGAACTTGTTGTAATTTGCTAGCAGTCCGAGAAGAAGAAACGGCTCAAATACTTGCACGGGCGTCTCTGACTCTTGTACGAACTGCGATGCATGTCAATTTGAGTTATCCGACGGACGGGAGAGGTCATCGAACGAACCTTCATGATTGAAGGGAACAGGTCGCGATGCGTGAGATATGAGACGAGGCTGGTCTTGTATGCGCCAGCAGTCATTGCAATAGCAGTCTTTATGGCTTGAAGTCGTAGCGCATCTAAATGCCCAGTCAGCGCTTGGACATAAGTCTTCTTCCATTGCGCTAGGAGCTCACAGGTTTTGCCATTGCGAATGATCCCATCCAAGACAGCGACGAAATTGAAAATTGCATGGTCAACATTGTCGAGACCAGCGAGAACGGTGATTACATCTGAGCTAGGATTGGTGTATTTTTTCTTCAAGACACAGGCTAGGAAGACCGTCAAGGTCTATTGTCTGCTTAGTGATGGGAGTTCAGCTTCGAGGAACATTGACCCACCTCAAGAGCATACGAGTCAACGGGACTGGACCCCGACGCAGCTTCACTTATGGCACGAGTGAAGAGTTGCTGGGTTTGAGCCTGCTGACGAGTCAGCGATGGTCATTCTACACTTTTGAACTCATAATCACGTGGGTCATTGACCTGCAGATTCAGGGTTTCATCAGGATTGAGCTGATTTAGTAGTGCATTGAGCTGGCTCCTATCCGGTGGCAGCAGAAAGAATTCTCTCCAAAAACCCTCCGAGGGTTCCGGAAAATCCGTGGTCTAGCAGATCGGTCAGATGTATGTGATGTAGAAACATAGGTGGAAGTACATACCTGGAATAGATTCTCGTATAGTTGCACGATCTTCGGTTTGAAGGTTTCCGGTCTACTTTGCTGGGTCAAAGGGGAATCCATTATGCTTAAAGATTGAATTGGACGATCGGCACAGAACACAAGATCATGGCCAATATAGTAGATAAGAGCAAAGAAGTCAAGGCCGACCTAAGTGCCTGGCGGACGGGGAGGATGTTATTGACATCCCATGCTTTGAGGGGGAATTTCAGCGGTCGTCGCCTTATTCGACACCACTCTTTTTCTGCCTTTTTAGGCCATCAATCCCCACCACCTGGTTGGCACCACTACAAGCCACTTCCCCTATCTCTCTCTCTCTCTCTCCATTTTTACACGAGCCTGTCCATTTTTCGAGTAGAGACCAAATCGAAACACCGCTACGGCAGTATTCAGGAGCAGCCATTCGCTTGAAACCTTTTCATCCGATAATCAGAACTCCTCGTCCCAATCCATAGAAGCGAGCTACGAGAACATCTGCTTGTTGAAGATGACATAATCAGGGGATGATGAGACCTACAAGTAAGTTTGACCATGTGGCATCTTCATAAAATAAACCGTCAAGGGGGTCCAGCGATTATTATCAAGTTCGAGGATAGAGTGATGAAGAGAAAGTACTGTAAGCAATCCTGCTAAGGAAGGTTATCCTGGACATAAATTCTTGATCACCTTAAACTATTTCAGCCCAAACATAGCTTAACAATAAGATAATACTCATGTAAACTGATGTTTTGTCGGATGCAGAAGAAAGCAATTAGTCATCTGATTCCAAGTTGACGCCTGAGGTGCTCAACTGCCAAATCATGACTAAGGAGCATTGTCCAATGGCAGAACAGTGAATATTCGTGCTCTGGGTGAATGACGAGGGTTGAAACGGATCATGAATGAAGGACAGAGAACAAACAAAAGAACATGCCACTTAAAACCAGTCACTAAGCAATGATAATCATTAGTTATTGGATCCTACCCCAGTCTCTAATGGATTTACTTCATCAATTTCTAGTCTAGAACAGCAGAGCGCAGTGGCGCCACTTGACCTGTGTAGAAACGCCTCAATGCTGATTGGCCGATGCGGTCGTGGCCCTGACCTCTTTTAACCGACTCAGGACCCGACCCGGCGTTCTTCCGCCTCCCCCAAACAGAACTCAATCTTTCCCGACTCACTTCCATCCTCCTCCTCGCATCCTCTATCACAATCACTACATTGACCAAACGAAACGTTCAGACATCGTGGGAAATTAGTTACACGCTGCCCTGTCGCTTCATAGATTATCTACTATCAATCTTCAATTTACCGCCTCGTTTTTACACAGTCACTATGCAGTCTTCAGTGACATCATCCGCCACGCTGCTCAGCTTGTTGAGACAGTCATCGAGCAGACGCACAGCACAGACATGCCGTCTTTTCTCTTCATATGGAAACTCACAGCGATCTTCTTCGAAGCGTGAGTTGCAGACTGCTACCGCATACCGTCCACACAGTCTGCCCACTTCCTTCCCGCCACCTCGGAGCCCGGGGTCGTCCGACACCTCCATTGCCGCAGACTTCCCCTCCTTCCGCGAGATGACCTCGCCTCAGCTTCCTGGCCAACAAGCCTATTCTCCGAACATCAACCTCAACGAAGCCGAATCACAGAAGCCCAAGCCCGTCGAGACCTCTCCCGCCACTACCGCTAAGCCCGTCGAGAAGCCCCGCAGAAAACTTCGCGCCCGCAAGGCTGCTATGAAGCTGACCCCGGTGGCCATTGAGCAACTCCGTAAACTCTTGTCTCAGCCAGAACCCAAACTGATCCGCGTTGGAGTCAAGAACCGAGGCTGCTCTGGCCTCGCCTACCACCTGGAGTACGTGGAGAAGCCGGGCACTTTCGACGAGGTTGTGGAGCAAGACGGTGTCAAGGTCTTGATCGACAGCAAGGCTCTCTTTAGCATAATCGGAAGTGAGATGGACTGGCAAGAAGACAAGCTCAGCAGGAAATTCGTCTTCCGCAACCCCAATATTAGTAAGCACAATCTGGTTTCACCGGACAACCGCACGGAGCGTATACTAACAAATCTTTTTAGAGGAACAATGCGGATGCGGTGAATCCTTCATGGTATAGGTCGCTGATATGCGCTTCCATACGACTTTGTTATTCATTATTGGATGAACTGGGTTTTGGGTTCCTACATGCATTGAATGGCGTTCTGTGGGCGGTCTCCTTTGGCGAATGAGCAGCTTCTTTCTTTTCCTGAACATACACTCTGATTCCCGGGCACATAGCCTACCAATTGTGCAATATATTCTTTTCTCTCTTTCCTATGTGCATGATAAAACATAACTTTACTGATCAGACTGCGCCACCGCACATGACAATATGTGGTGGTCTACTCATTCTCAATACATCTAATTGGGGAAGACAGTTTGAACAATTATGCCTCCGAATTGAGTTAGGTGTGTCGGAGAAAGCTGGGTTGGTCGCATAGCCCAGTAGTCGGGTAGCACGATAGCTAAGAAAATCTACTCATAATCTCCAAATGTGCCCTTGTTAACGACATCCCCGCGAGCAACGATGTCTAATAAAAGCATTCAGAGACATTCTAGGCGCGCGTAGATCAATGCACCATGCATTAATCCGAACTTGACGTAGGTAAAGCCACTGAGTTGCTGGGAGTAAAAACTGGTACCCGGGGCAATAGGCTCAGGGTCAAGCACTGATCAGCCCATGCTAGTCTTGTGGCTTCAGCGTGACGCCGTCGCGCTATTTCCAGTTTTTATACATAAAACTAGACCCAGAACGGATTCAAGTTGCGTTGCTCAGGCTGCAAGATGATCGATGATAGACCGGGGAAAAGCAGTAACGACGTATCACGTGGGGATAGCATTTGGGACAATCAGCCCCATTCTCCACTTTATCAGCTTATCGACCCTCCCCTTTCCACCCTTCATCCCGCATCGCTGCACTTGTGACGCACGGCCGTATCGCTTGCTTCCCTGCAACAACACCTCCATATAGAGAAAAGCACAATGCCGACGCCGACGCTTCTCACTCCTGATCGCATGCTCGACCTCAATGATTCCACCTCAACCCCCCTTTACGTCATCATCCGCTTCTCAGCCTCTATCCCCGACCTCCCCCTCGACATCTTCTCCCCCGAGACCACCACCTCCGCCGGTCTGAAACAACTCATCCGCACACGTCTCCCACCAAATCTCTCCTCCCACCGTCTCCGTCTAATCTACGCTGGTCGTGGCCTCGAAGATGCCACCCCGCTAGCCGCATCTCTCAAACTCCCGCCCTCCTCGTCCGCCCGCTCCACCCCCCGGCCCCCGGAGGACGACGAATCCACCACAACCTCCAAGGGCAAAGGCAAGGCCCCTGTCCGTGATCCACCCCGCCTGTATATCCACTGCTCCATCGGCGACATCGTTCTCTCCGCCGGCGACCTCGCCGCCGAAGCGGCCATCGCATCCACCATCCGGCAACCGCAGGACTCAGATTCGGGAGATGAAGACGGCAATGATGGATCGCCAACTGGCTCTCGGCGTAATAGGCATCAAGGGTCCTCGTCTTCGGCATTGGACTCCGCTGGAGGGACGACGACGCCCGCGCCCCGCGGATTCGACCGGCTGCTGGCGGCCGGGTTCACGCCCGCGGAGGTGACGGCGCTGCGGTCCCAGTTCATGGCCATCCAGGCGGTTTCGCGGACGCCGGATACGATGCCCAGCGGTGCGGAGTTGCGCGAGATGGAGGATCGGTGGATGGATGAGGGGTCGTCGGCGATGGCGGCCGGGGGAGGAGCCACGGGCGGTGGTGGTGCCGGGGGTGGTGGGGAAGGGATCTCGTTTGCGGACGACGATGGTGGGTTCGGGCCTGGGTCGCGGGGCGCGATGGACGATATGCTTTGGGGGGCGGTGATGGGGTTCTTTTGGCCGGTGGGCTGTGCGATGTGGTTGCGGCGAGAGGAAGGGGTCTGGAGTTGGCGGAAGGGGTTTGCGGTGTTTGTGGGGGTGGTGGTTAATGTTGCCTTCGGGGCGATGCGGATCATGAATTAGTGTTTCTGGGTGGTGTTCGGCTCTTTTGTTTTGTTTTTCTTCTGGTCTACTCCGTACTTGAGCGGGATACCCTATTGTGTTTTTCTTTCTGGCGCTTTTTCTTTCTTCTGTTTGAGTTTGGTTGGAGTATTCAGTGCGTTCCATGTAGTGCTGGACACAGTGGTCTTTGATTAGAGCTGGAAGAGTGCTATCATACAAAATTCCGTGGAGGAGTCTGCTAATGCAGACGTGTATATGTCGTTAACAAAGTACTACAAAGGAAAAAAGATGGTCATCCCATGGTAACGCCTGCTGGAAAACCCACGCTCAGTGGAACTTGCTGTAGATCACAGCGAAAATCAAAAGAATCAACACAGTAATGATTGCAATGGTAATCAGCCGATTCGTAGCCATCCTATGATGCGAGTTAGCATTAAAACCGTGCGCAAATCACTGCAGGGTATGGCAAAGGGGCCAGTACCTACGGGCCATGCCCCTCAATGTCTTAATACTGGTATCTACGTAGCCCTCACTCTCCAACAGACGACCTCGAGCATTGATGATGGTCTCCCGCTGCTGGTTCAGATCCGCCAGAGTGTTGCGGCCGATATCCTCCGTCTCAAGAGCGATGCGCTGACTCTCCTGGAGCCGAGCCGAACTGCGCTCCAGGCGCTCTGTACCAGACAGAAGTTGCTGGCGCTGTTCCAGATGCTCGTCCTGCGGATCATCCGTGTACCGATCGCCGAAGAGGGCTTTGCGGTCATCCGACAGAGACCGCAGCTTGCGCTTGGCCTCATCGATGTCCGTCGCATAGTTGCGGACCCGGGTGTTGATTTTCGATCGGGCGGAAGAGGGGATGTTCTGTTTCTCCATGCGCATTTGGTCCAACTGTGTTTCGAAAGGGGAGGAGTTGGTTAGATTGGTGGAATGATAGACATCGCGCAGGGGACAGGCGTCGAGCAACGCACCAATTCCGTGGCCTCATCCAGCGCTCTTTCCGCTTGCCGGATGGCAGACTTCCGTTGTTCACCGCTCGACTCCGAGATCTGATCTAGCTTCTGGTTGAGGTCGGCCTGGACCAGCTTCAACTCGGTCTCGTAGCTGCTGAACAGCTCCGAGCCGGCATCGGTGTCCAACGGGTTCGACATGGTGATATGGGTGGGAAGTGACACTGCTGGAAGTGTTGGCTATTGCGAGTGTCCCTGAGATAGACAATCGAGGCCGGATGAGGTAGCGGATCGATAGGGGCGTTGTGGTGGATCGGATAAAGCGGAGAGATTGGCCACTTGTATCCTCGTGGTGGCTGGCCAGTGCCCGGCCTGTTGGATCTAATGACGGATTGAGCCCACCTACAAAGGTCAACTAATGGATGAACTGGTACGGTGACTTGAGTTGGGTCCTATGTGAAAACCCCCACGCTCAAATAAACAAATTTCGACCGATGAACAGATTAGAGATGAAGATGGATGCAGAAAGTGACCGAGTTGGGGATGTGCCTATTTCACTGCATGCCAAAGAACCAGGAACGGCGGCGGCTTCCTGTCGGCCTGCACGTGACCGTATTCCGAGGCTGTCCTTATTTCCGGACTGACGTCGCAAATTCGATAGCAATTACTTCTTGATGATCCTATTGTCTTCGTTTACTCTGTTTATTGTTGCTTGAACTCGGTTGGGCGCACCCTCCCGTGGCTGTTTAATGAGCAATGTTTTCTCTATCTTCTCACAGTCGAACAGTCGTAGTCTATTTTGACAGCGATTGCTATATGTGCACAAAGGTGCGAGGAAGTTTCTCAGTCAATAGTTGATCGCATCCCCGCTCAACTTATTGTTGGGCCCCTCTTTCCGCCATTATCGCCTTGGCTGGGTGGAGCTGCAACGGATTCCCTCCTGCGTCTTGACCGCCATACAAGGTCGCTTCCTTCGATCGATCTCTGAATCACCCCTCCTATAAACAAAAAGCAGAGGTCACGCACTTTTCTTCTGCCGATCTGCATCAGAAGGAATTCCTGCTTTACCCCAAAGAATGGCTAAAGGGGCTCAGGGAGCTCTATATTAAGCTGATTTACCCCTCGGTATTTCCGTCATATGATGTGATCACACCGGAAAGCCACATGAGGGCATATCGGAAGCATTAGTAGGGCAGAGAAAATCTGATCGTGTCTGCGCTGATAAGCCTGTCGCCTTCACTTACTGCAACGCTTTCCACAAGCCCTTTTATATTGCATGCCCCCTGTGAGCTCCCGCTATCTGGCCCCGGTAGAAACAAGGAACAATCGCCAGTGTGTCTAAAACTACAGACACGAACCTTGAATCGGGTGACTTCAACCGCAGAGCTAGCGAGGAATCCCTATACCGAACACCGGAAGCCAATGGCTGAGGTGACTGTCGAGTGCCATTATTCTCATGCCCGTCTCACAGCCAGAGCGTGTCGCTATAATAGGGGGTGGTTGCACGGGAATTACCTCGTTCTGGGCCTTGCAAAACTCCGGTCATGACGTCCACATTTTCGAAGCCTCCGATGCCCTCGGCGGGCGTATCAAGTCACTGCCTTTCGAGCATGAGGGCATTCAAACCAACGTGAATTCAGAATCATCTGTCTACAATATTGAGGCTTCTCGTCAGTGTCATTTTCCCATGATGCCCTCTGGACAGGACTGATTTGCAACCCAGCAAACTTGGATTCATTGCTGCGCTACCTGGGAGTGTCGACCATTAGACATCGATTTGGCGTCAGGGCAACTGACGGAGATCGCAGTTCTTGGTGGAGTGACAGTATATTGCAAAGCATCCTTATCCAGCCCTGGATTCTTTGCTGCAAGGAGACGTATGTGATACTGTCGGATATCATCTGGCTCAAGTTCTTAGCCATCGACGTGCTGTGTAAGGATGTCTCGCCGTATAGGGCCCGTAACATTGAGTCACTTCTCTCTGCCAAGAGATATCTTGCGAAAGAAGGATACTCTGCCAGCTTCCGTGATGAGTACCTAGCTCCAATACTTTCGGTTTTATGGGGCACAAACACTGGTAAGCTCCTTTCACGGCTACCTATCGAAGCTGCTATCCGCTGTCTGTATGACCATCAGCTGCTCTGGCCGCGGCAGAATGTTCCGAGGTGGCGTAGCATTGAACGAGGCGCGAGCCACCTAGTGCAGGTTCTTTCTCGCGACTTTGATCCTTCCAGAGTACATCTAAAGGCCAAAGTACGACGAGTGACCCGGTACGACAAGAAAGTCTATAGACTGGTTACTGCAGATGGCCGCGAAAGGGATTTCAATCGCATCATTTTCGCTGTCGATAGCGAAGACATTATGCACATATTGGGGCCTCTTGCGAGCGCGCAAGACAGGAAGATCATTGGGGGATTGGGCACAACGAAAAACATATCTGTGTTGCATTCGGACTCCCTCGTGGGTGAAGGCGTAAAATCCTCAATACAATTCCTGCCAGGTGAGGGTTGGGGAAGCGCTGCTCACCAGCTGGGCCGGCTTCTGCTGGAAAGAGAGCATTCTACGACCGCCTACACTTATGTGCTGGAGCCCATCGTGCCTGGGCGCTCATCCGAGGACTCAACGCCCCGGAAATCTAGCCTCAGCTATAATGTTAATGCCTTAGACAGTGTTTCAGCGTCTCTTTACGGTCCGTTTTACATCACGCTGAACCCGATTATGCCCCCCCATCCTAGCATCGTGCAGAGTGTGTATGAATTCACCGAGCCAGATCCAAGCTTCAGCACACTACAGGCACAAAATGATCTTGCGCTCATTCAGAACAAACGAGATTTGAGCTACGGATTCTGTTGGACGGGCCGTGGGCACCTTGAGGATGCCATCACTGCAGGCTTGCGGATTGCGATTGAAGACTTGAACGCAGAAGTCCCTTTCCCAGTCGAGTTCCATCCCGTACCTTTCGCGGCGGACCTGCCCCGTCCAAGCCTGGGCCTCCCTTTTCATATCATCCGGACCCTACTCCGGCTACTTCAACTTCTTGTCCTTGTTCTGGAACTGCTGATGCCCTTGCTGCCTGGACCGGCCTCGCGATTCATAGTTCACCGCCACAGACACTTATCGAGGCAGGAGCCTGGGAAGCCGTCAAGACAAGGGGAATGATGGAAGATCTGCCCTCTTTGCCTCTCAGATTGAGTTGAATTGCTTAGGAACAATAGACTGAATAGATCTCTTGCCGAGACTTGCTCCGGGTATACAGATTATTGAGATATAGCTATATTCGACTGCCCCCGGCTAGAGGTTTCGGATCCATCTCACGATGACAGGCAGGTATGTTAGGTTGCCAATTAAGCTTAGAATTTTTAGATTTTCATATGGATCGTTCCACTCCATCTGTCGGTCGAAGTACATGATAAAAGAAGAAAGACAAGGATTAGGCCAGACCCAGAAAAGCTCACGTTCATTAAACTCCGATCACAAAGGCACCACTCGGTTTGGATTATCTATTTCAGGAACTTGTCGTCGTCCTGGCTGACGATCAAAGCACTTCTCTTGGTATCGATGAAGAGATCTTCGACCTCAGCCACGTCGGCCTCTTCGATGCCACCCGGCCGGCCGTTGACCCGGGCAAGGATGCTGGCAGGGGTCAATAATTGCAGGGCGTAGCGCAAGCTGACCTTGCTGCCGTGCTCCGAAACCTTGTCCAAGGCCGGGTCAGTGATGGTGATGCCTTCCGTCTTCGCGCGCAGGCGAATGATGGTCTTGATCTCGTCGTGGGTGTAGGGGTGAGTGGGAATGATGAGGAGACGGGCGAGGAGGTCGGGGGGGATGCCGTGGGCGGCCGAGATATCGTCCGTGCCGCGGATGACGGTGTGGCCGCGGTTGGAGGCGAGGATGACGATCGGGGAGATGGTGGATTCGAGGGCCCGGTTGAGATACGTGAAGCATTCGATGTCGAGCATGTGGACCTGGAAGGTGTGTTGTTAGATAAGTCGCGCGTATTGCGGGATGGTAAATTGCGGGGAGTATAACGAACCTCGTCGATGAAAAGAACACCAGGGACAAGCTCGGCAACACCTTGGTCGATGTAGCGGTTGACGACCTTGTTGATCTCCTGACGCAACTTGTCCGTGATCTCGGTCTTCTTGGGCTTCATCAGCTGGCCCATCATGCTCATCACGTCCTGTCCGCCTTGCGGCCGGGCGTTGGCCATATCGAGATCGTGTAGCGTCACGTCCTGGACGATTTCCTTCTTCTTGTGAACCTCGCCCTTGGGGACCGGGACGTACTCCTCCGCCTCCAGATCGAACTCGGTCGCATATGCGTCGGAGCGTCCCACACGCTTGCAAGCGCCGGTGTTGGCTTCGATGTAGATGACGTCTCCCACCGTGACACGCTCCTTCTGGATGGCCTCGTAGATGCTGGGGTCCAGGCGCAGCTTCTTCGTGCCCTTGGCGGACTTCAGTCCGATGATCAAATGGCTGATCGTCCGTCCGTATCCCCCCAATGGGTTCTCGGCCTCCTCGGGCGTGAGCTCCGTCACTTCGCCTTCGTACACTTCCTTGGTTTCGCGGACACGGAGACCTATAGATGATTTCGCGTTAGCCGCCCGCATTCTTTGTCGCTTCTCCTTCCCGGCCTGCGGCTGCAGCAGCAGTAGTGGGTTGTTTACCAATTGCTCTCCGGAAATTCTCCATCAGCGCCTCCGTCTTCTTCACTTCGGCAGAGTAGATCTCACTGCCGACGATGGGGCAGAATGGGACCTTGGTTCCCAGTTCCTGCGATACAGCAAGAGCGAGAGCTGTCTTGCCCGTACCAGGACCACCGGCCAACAGCACGGCACGGCCAGCCATCTTCTTCGCCTTGATCAGATCAACAACAACACCGCATGCCTAATGGGAGAAGATTTCGCGCTTGTCAGCCAACGATGTGTCTCAACGGGAGCAAGCAGAGAAACAATAGTTTCTTGTGCACAGAAAAGAAGGGGATTTGTCGTCGCATACCTCACGGGCAGCATCTTGCCCGACAAATCCATCGCCGGTGGTCTCTGCGGTTCCGTCTGGCCGAAGACCGAGGCCCTTGATGTGCGTGTGCGCTGCGGTTCTGTTCTCGCGCGAATTGCCCTTCACTTCACTGATCTGGACCATGGTGAAGGGATTGCGACCTTACTCGGAAGGCCACAGAGGAAGCGAACGGAAAAGTCGAGGAATAGGGATTGAGGATTGAGAAGATGGGCTGCGAAGAGCTGACGGAACGGAGCTCACAAGTAAGGACGATGGGATTAGGAGGAATGAAGAGAAACAAACGGTCGGTTTTGGTATGGATGATGCTGAGCAACTGCTTGCTTGCTTGCTGAGCGGAAATTCCGATCGATCAATCAGAGCGGCCTGTGTTCAAGGCGGTCAGCCGCCACGCCCAAATTCTTTCTCTCCTACTCCCGCCGGAAGTGCGTCCAGGCCTTGTCGATTATCGCCCAGCAGCTTGAGATCTCTCCCTCACTCCTCAATTGGCCGAATTCGCCATCGATTTGTCCGGCAGTGACTCTGTCATGGTCAAGAGCTGAATCTTACACTTCAATTCACAGACAGAATAAAGGATGGCGGGCCTACAGACTCGCTCGGCCATGTCCCTCCCCTTCACCCTCTCTGCGGCCTTTCGCAACCTTTCCCTCAACACCGCGAAGCGGTCCTTCTCCACGACACTGCCTGTACAGAAGACGCGACAACTTCCGGACCATATCCCACCGTACCCGTACGGCCCCAACTATGTCTTCAAGCAGTCCAACTCCGGTCTGTACGGCGGCGCGATGATCCGATTCGGCAACAAGATCTCCGACGGCAAGAACGAAGGCAAGACCCGCCGATCCTGGAAGCCCAACGTTCGCCGCAAGAAGATCTGGAGCGAGAGTCTTGAGAAGTTCCTATTCATCAAGGTGACGAAGAAGGCATTGAGGACGATCGAGAAGTGCGGCGGACTCGACAACTACCTCCTGGGCAACAGCCCGGCACGGATCAAGGAGCTGGGTATCTTCGGCTGGGAGCTGCGGTGGCAGGTGATGAACTCGCCCAAGATGCAAGAGAAATTCGAAATGGACAGGCTGCTCTTCAATATCGAGAAGCCTCAGACCTTCGAGGAGTTTGTGGCGCAAAAGGAGGCTGAGAGAAAGAAGGCGGCGCTTGATCTGACGAATATCAAGAAATTGACGAAGCCTACGCTCAATGAGAAGCAGTACTGAGAGGGGACACAAAGGATTGAAGTCTTGGGTTTTGGGCTAGGAACCGTTTCGAAGCATCCGAGGTTCAAGACCTGGGAATGAGAACGTCTGTTGTATTATATCTATTTGCGATCGTGGTCGACAGTCTTGCGCAGGCAGTGTCAGTGGAGTACCTCTATCTTGCTGACTGCTCGTTGAAGAGAAACTCTATGGCTGTCCGGCTTTGATTTTCTTGCATTGATTACCATGGACCTTGCATGTTCCGATTTTTGTTTGTTGTATTTATACTTTATATCACCTTGGCCAATGAGATTAGAATTTGACTACTGGTCATCGAGCAGGGGCTTTCTTTAGCTGGTGAAGCGTACAAGAACGAGCTGGTGTCTATAGTACTGTACAATGAAGCACACCCATGTACAGTACTGTCCTGCCCGGTACAATGTAGCCAAAAGACTCAAAAGAGTCATGAGTGACACTTGGCTCTACAAATCAATCCTGCGTCACTCAACCAACTTGACTCGGGCTTGCCTTGGAGCTAATAATATCTCTGGAAAGCACATACTTAGGACGGACTTGCTCGGGCCCTCTGGAATGTTGTGATATCTCGGGCCAGCGCAAGGCCCGCGGATTGATAGCCGGAAGCGGCAGAACGGCCCCATCTCTATGCGGTGACGCTTTGTCCGAACAAGTACTCGTACTTAGAAACCATCCAGCTTCTCTTCCAACGAATCTCTTCCTCACCAGTCACCCAGCATTCGCTCGCTGGGGACAGATTTTGCCAGCATGCAGTTCGCCTTACCTCCACGGAGGGCCCCAATCACTCCGGTGTACGGACGATCCTCGCGATTCTCGTTACAGCGCAGGAAACAGCTCAAAGCCATTGCCATCCTCGCCTTTGCGCTCCTCACCATATTCTTCCTCCTTTCCCAATTCTTCTACACAAGCACTGGCACCCCTGCTGTGTCCGCGAGCACTTCTGGTGTTGTCATCGTCACAGTGTTAGATCGGGTCGGCTTCAGCGAAGATTACATCGAGAAGATTGTCAAGAACCGGGAGGACTACGCAAAGCGTCATGGTGAGTGACCCCGGGAGAGGACAAGGCGGTTGACACACGATTACTACCACTTTGTTGCACTACGACTGACAAAAACGCATTCGCTGCCAATCAGGGTATACGAATTTCTTCGCCAATGTGTCTGACTACGAATCCTCCATCGGCGACTCGCCGCAGAGCTGGGCGGTCATCCCCGCCGTCCGGCATGCGATGGCATCCCATCCTTACTCACAGTACTTCTTCCACCTCGAAGCGCACGCCCTGATCATGAACCCGAGCAAGTCGCTGGGGTCGCATGTCCTGGACAAGCAGCGGCTCGAATCGCTGATGCTCAAGGAGGTCTCCGTCGTGCCGCCCGACAGCATCATCAAGACCTTCTCGCATGTCCACCCCGAAGACGTCGACCTGATCATCACCACCGACAATGAGGACATGAGTCCCGGGAGCTTTGTGCTGCGGCAGGGCGATTTCGCCAAGTTCTTCCTGGACTTGTGGTTCGATCCCCTGTATCGGAGTTATAACTTCGCGAAGGCGGAGACGCATGTCTTGGTAAGGATTCTGTTGCGTCGTTCTTTTCTTCTCTGCTTTTTCTCTGCTTCGGCTCAATCTTCCTGGGCTTTCTGCAAACTTTGTGTCACCGTAACGTTTCTGACTCACGTCATCGTTTCGCTCGCTAGGATCACATTGTCCAATGGCATCCCACCATCCTCGCCCGGTTGGCGCTACTGCCTCAGCGAACCATCAACGCCTACAGCAAGGATTGCTCGGCGGCGGCGGCGAACGGCATCTACAAGGACGGCGATCTTGTCATCCGATTCCTTGGCTGTAACACCGATACGAAGCGGAGCTGCGAGAAAGAGATGGAGCCCTACTACCGCCTTTGGCAGACGAAATTGAAGACTGGGTGATCTCCATTCACTCCAACTGGTTTCTTTATTTTTTACTTTTTCTTGCTGGAATTTGGAGTTGTGTGGTTGTGGGTTTGGGGGGGGTACGAAACTGTCTTTTTTGTTCTTACTGGTTTATTGTTCCAGGTGTTCTCTGGAGTTTCATGAGGATGCACCACATAGAGCGAGCGCGTGTATTATTATAGGTTGAATTGGAACTACTGCCTTTCTTCATTTTTTTTTTCGCATCAGGAGACCTTTAAGAACACCAATTGCGACATTAGACTCGATGTAGCGCACCGATGTCACGCGGAGTGAGTGTCAGGTGCGATAGGGGGAACTAGGTTGCTGGTGGATTTTCCGACCACTGATTTTAAGCTTCGTGGCGATGTCTCATCCATTCGTCGGTTTTACTTTTTCGTAACTGTGAGATTGTTGAATAAGGGCGAAACCATGTTCTTCATGACGTGTGACTTCTTTGGGGAGGAGAGTCCACCAAACGATGTGTTTCCCTCCTCAACCCCTCCTCCTTTCCAATAAATCTTATCTCCCGTTTCACTAACTCTAAACGAGGCCAGGAAAGAGAGCAAAGCGCTTGCGCTTGTACTTGTCGCCGAACTCCTTGCGGTAGCGACGCTCCTTCTTCTTGGCCCAGATGGCCATCTGGGCGGAGCCGACGACGAGGAACAGGAGGACGCTCCAGCTGAGGCCGCTGAGCAGGTAGATGCCGACCCAGGCGACGATCTCGAAGAAGTAGTTGGGGCAGGTAACGACGCTGAAGCCGAAGCCGGCGGGGATGCCGCGCTCGGTGGTGCCGGGCCGGCGCAGGTCGCGCAGGATGCAGTGGGCGTTCAGGTTGGCCAGCTCGCCGAAGGCGAAGAGGGCCAGGCCCGTGTACCGCAGGAAGGCGTCCCCGTCGCGGGCGACCGCGGGGCTGTCCGGGCGGAAGACCCAGTAGGCGATGTTGACGCCGGCCAGGAGCCAGTAGTGGCCGCTGTTCTTGAGGATGTTGCGCGCGGGCATCGTGGCGTTGCTGAAGCGGTGGATGAAGATGGTCTCATACTCGCGCTTGATGAAGTGGACCGTCAGGAGGGCGCAGACCAGGCGTTGGAAGGTGGAGGGCTCCGCGAGCGGCTGGTTGAAGTTGTAGTAGATGTACGGCCGCAGCGGGTAGAGGAAGAGGTAGGGGATGATGAGCGGGCCCAGGTATTCGATGAGGTAGACGGTGCGCCATCCTAGTTGAGGGCCTGGATAGTGTGAGGGAGACGAGGTTAGTGTGATCCTATCTGGAGTAGGAGGTTGGGCATACCGAGGTCCTTGACGTGGATCACGCTCTTTTCCTTCAGGCCGGTGCCATCGACGGTCAGGTCCTTGGAGTTGGGGACGAGCGTCCGGTCGCTTCCCTTGGTGATGCGGAGGCGGTGGATGGAGAAGTTCGAGGCTTTGGCCAACGCTTGGTAGATTTCCTCGGTCGAGGCATCGGGCGCTACTTGGAGCTCCTTGGGGAGCTTTCGGATGGGTTTACCTGGAGAGAAGCGGTGTTAGTCTGGCAAGAATAGGTGGAATCGGTTGGGAAAAGGACTTACCCCGGGGCTCAACAACTAATGTTATCGCCATTTGGAACGAGCTGAGGGGGGAGCGAGTTGGAGATGGAGCACTCTGCTGATAGCAATTGATAGCTACCAATGATGACGGGGGTTCTAGGATGTGATGGAAGGCTGTGAAGATTAGTCCAGGATCCAGGTCTGATGCCGGGCATGCGCGAAAATTACCCTAACTCTTGGTTCTCCTGCACTGCACTGAGCTTACCGCGCTTACTCGACTGGGTAAGCTCAGAGCCTCGGCTTCCGGCGGACGGGAACCATCACGTGGCAGACCGCCCTCAGCCGCATAACGAAGGGCATTATTGGGGGCTGGAGTCCAAAAGAGGTTGTGATTCTTATGAATTACACTATGTATAATACAGAGTGGATTCATGATCATTATGATTGATTTATGGCCCACCATCTTTCAGCTGAAGGAAGCTTGAAGGATCCCCGGGCCGAATTCGGATGGAACCTTCACTCGTATTGTTTTCAAGTTTCCATGCACAGCCTGAGTCAGATGTCCTGCCTGAGAAAAATGGTACAGCAAGGCTGAACGAACGAACAAACAAACCATGGCACCATCCTTCAGGACCATGTGATAATTGCCAGGTAACTGACTCGGCAGGAGACAACAGACAGAGTCTAGAATATCGGCCTGGATGAACACCCTTTCATGTTCCTTCCACACATGGCGCCTCGCTTTGATTGTCCAGCTGAGAAAAGGCATTGAGCCATTGACATTATCATCATTAGGCTAAGCTTGCGTCGGGCTAGCGTCCCGAAAATCAAATAGTGTCGCAGTTAGTGTCGGCCTGTCAGCCAGCCTTTCGTCTCTTCTCCATCGGCCGTTTAGCACGTTTTAGCAACTTGGAACCATTTTAGTGTCAGGCGTTCCCCGGCACTCTCAGTACCATCCCTCAAATGGCAATCCTCCAATTGATAACCACAAGTAATCAAAAGCAAACAAAGATCGCTACGCGCACTTGTCCAAGTGTCGCTGCTCAGCAAATCAACCTAGGATTGATTTCACGGGATGACGGGCTCAACTGAGTTTCCAAACCGTCCACAATGTCATTGACAGTCCCTCATCCAAACAAATCACATCGTGGCTATCAATCACCCAAAGGCCGGCTTTCCATACCTACGAAGTATCAACCTAGAATTCGTCTGTTTGTGCCACCCGAATGGACGACTCGAGAGCTCCAGCGGCACAATTTGAACTCACTTCTCATCGGCTCACTAAAGTAAGAACTTTACCTAGTCTAGAAGCGACCTTTTACGAGTTCTCCACGCTCTCTGCATCGCCTCCCTGATAGGGGCCCCTCCCTCGGTCTTTACCGGTCCCCTCCATCATCTAGACCATGGCGCCTTTTACCTTTGATGTCCCGCTAAGGCACCTCTAATCACGGCCAATTTGTCTGTCAGCTCAGCGTGGCGTAAATCCCAGCTGGAACAGCGCTCATTTGTCCCCATGTCTCATACATACGAATCACAATGTCGTCGGACTAGCACTCCTCACGGGGCATTCTTCGCCTAGACAAGATGCCAATGCCTCTCATGCCGTAAATTTCTTATTCGCTCGTATCGGGGTCGCCGACTCTCTCTCTCCCCACAGCCACCATGCTGATACTGATCCAATCCTATAAATGAGCATGCGTTTCCCCCTTCTCTTACCGATCGCATTTGCTTGTCGGTGGTCAACCTGTCACGCACAGATACTTTTAGTTGTTGGCTTCTGAAGCCTGTGCGTTTAGGCTTTAGTGCACTGTTTACCGTGCCTGGTTCGGTTCTCCCCGCATTTGGCAGTGCCTCCACATTCTTCGGTGCAATCGCTTGGTTTCTTTTCCCGGATTTTGTTTTCAACTACCTGGTGAGCCACATTGTCCCAATGCGTTCGTTATTCTCGTACTTTTGGGCAAGCCAGCGAGCATATTTCTTAGGGTCCCCGGAATGGCTCCGACGGATCAGTTGTGATGAGCAAGCAATGGCACATTCTTGTTGGCCTGCTACATTCCTATGCAAAGCAATCACTAACAACCAGCACAGTGTCAAAATATCACCAGATTGTATACTAAGAGGCTTGATCTAGCCCGTCATGGCTACCAAGCAGGAGAAGTCCCTCCTGAACGGTGTTGGGAGCAAGATCTCCCAGGTCGAGAAAGTCATTTCAGCATCCTTACGGCCATTGCCTACTACGACGGGCGATGGGACATACGTCACAGAGCAGGTGCAGACAGGCTTTGTCAAGGACCTTGGCCATGTCGACCTTGATAACATCAAGGCCATTTTGGAGATTGTTAAGGATACTGCAACAGGCGAGCCGCTCAATGACAGACACTATATCATGGAGCGAGTGATCCAGGTCAGTGCTCTAATTTTGCATTCGTATTCAGCCTTTCTAATTCTTGTTTAGCTCGCTTCCGGTCTACCCTCAACCTCCCGAAATGCGAAAGCTTTGACAAACACTTTCCTCAAACAACTATGGAACGATTTGGAGCATCCACCAATCTCGTAAGTTGATTGACAGAGACTATATATTGACCACGAGATTGACCGCATTTTTAGCTACCTCGGTTCGGACCACGTATACAGACAAGCGGATGGTTCAGGCAATGTATGCACTTCCCACCATATTCTGCAGAATCTTTCACTAACGAATCAGAACTTCCTATGGCCTCACATTGGTGCCGCTGGTTCCCACTATGCCAGATCTGTACGCCCAACGACAGTACAGTCTCCTTCTCTTCCAGAGCCCGAGACACTTTTTGCCTCTCTCTTGGAGCGAAAGGATTACAAGGAACATCCGAACAAGATCTCCAGCATCTTGTTCTACCTTGCTTCCATCATCATTCATGGTAAGCTGAAAACCGAGATGCTTTCCAGGTAATTAGCTGACAGTTCTTGAGATCTTTTCCAAACCGACCGCAATGATTATACTGTGAGCTTGACATCTTCTTACTTGGACCTGTCGCCGTTATATGGCAACAACCAAGACGAGCAGAATCAGGTAAGGACATTCAAGGACGGAAAACTGAAGCCGGATTGCTTCTCCAGCAAACGTATTCTGGGCTTTCCTCCAGGTGTCGGTGTTCTCCTGATCATGTTCAACCGCTTCCACAACTACGTGGTTGAAAACTTGGCTACCATCAACGAGGGCGGTCGTTTCACCAAGCCAGATGAGTCGAATACCAAAGCATATGCGAAGTACGACAATGACCTCTTCCAGACTGCTCGACTGGTGACGTGCGGCTTGTATATCAACATTATCCTGAAGGACTACGTTCGTACAATTTTGAACATCAACCGAACGGACAGCACCTGGAGTCTGGACCCTCGAGCAGAGATGCAGGATGGACTTCTTGGTGAGGCACCAGCACAGGCCACCGGTAACCAAGTTTCTGCTGAGTTCAATCTCGTGTACCGCTGGCACTCTTGTATCTCCAAGCGGGATGAGAAATGGACGCAGGATATGTACCGCGAGTTATTCCCGGGCAAAGAGCCGGAGGAGATCTCTCTGCGAGAATTTCTGCGGGGGGTGGGTCAGTGGGAAGCTCGTCTACCAGAGGAGCCTTCTGAACGCCCGTTCGCTGG